GAGGAGGAGGAGGAGGAGGAGGAGGGGGCACGGGCGGCGAACATGAGGAGGGAACAGGAGGGGGAGGTGGGGAGGAGGAGGAAACGTTCAGAAGGAGCAAGGGAGGGACGGGGGAATGAGGGCGAGGAAGAGGGAGGAGGTGAGTTGGAGGGAACGAAAAACGACGGTGGGGGGAGAAGGAGCGAGGGGGAGGACACATGAGGAAGATGGGGAGGAAGGAAAGACGGAGGCGGACGAGAAGGAGCGAAGCAAGGAAGGAATCCGAAAGAGTGCTGAGACGGAAGGTGTGCATTGAGCGAGAGGCAGCAGTGCGAGGGTAGCGACGTATCCTCTGCGGGGGAAGTGGAGGCGGGCGGACCAGAGCGGGGGAGAGCCGAACGAGTGAGGGGACGGAGGCGGGCGGAACGAGTTCCGAGGGGAACTCGCCCTCCCTCCGACGACGTCATCGCCTTCTCCATCTTCGTCGTCGTCGTAATCGCTGTCGTCGTCGTCGTAATCGCTGTCGTCGTCGTCGTTGTCGTAATCGCTGTCGTCATAATCGTCGTCGTCGTCGTCGCCGAGCGGAGCGCGCCAGTGTGCGCGCCCCCCCCCCTTTCGATTCATCCTCGTGCGTTGCGTGATGGGGGAGCGATACATGGGGGGGGGCATAGGGGGGCGCACACTATGCTCTGAAGTGGCCCTACGGGGGGCCCCCCTGGGGCACGGAAGGGCCACGCTTCTCCCCCCCCCCATTGATCGCCCCTGGAGGGGATGCTCGGGCGCTGGGGGGGAAGGGACGGGGGTGATGATTTCGATTCGAGCTAGTCGTCGTCGTCGTCGTCGTCGTCGTCGTCGTCGTCGTCGTCGTCGTCGTCGTCGTCGTCGTCTTCAGCGTCGTCGTTGTCGTCGTCGTCGTCGGCTTCCAAAGGCCTGCGGAGGGCCACCGGCGTGCCAGAAAAAGACATCTCGCCCCCCCGTCCCCGTCCTAGCCACCGCCACCGCACTGCAGAGCCCCCCCCCTCCTCCCCGGGCTCATTTCGATTCCTCCGACTCGATTCGATTCGATTCGATCGATTCCAGTTCGATCTGGTTTCTGACGCATTCTGATCTGGATTCCGGTCTCCTGATGGAAGCCTTTCCATCCTGCCGATCTCCACCGATTCGACTTCTCCCGACTCGGCTGCTGATCTCCGCCGATCCGACTCATCTCGACCGCCGATCCGAGTTATCGGTTCGATTTGGCTCTAGACTTTCGTGCCCCTCCCCCAGGACGAGACCTTCATCCTGAGTCGTCTTCTGACCGTCCCGGGGCCCGTGGAGAGCCTCGCGGGCAACCTCAGGACCCGCTTCCCCCATGGCATGCGGCACGGTCCGATCTTGGCAGGAAGCTTGGCATCGCTCGGACGTGTGCCCCTTTCCTTGGCGAGAACCATCGAGGAGCATTTTTGCTCACCTGGCAGAACATGCACGCACGAAGCCGAAACATGCACAGGAAATGGACGCCCGAGCGATGGCGCACGTGGGCCCCGACGCGGCCTCGCGCGATGGTGGGCGGCGCAGCAGAGCGGCGGAAGCTCAGCGCGGCGGCCAGGGCCGTGCTGGGGCCATCCTGGAGGCACGGCGGCGCGTCTTGGATCGGCGGCGAGCCCGGGGGGAAGCGAGAAGGGGTGGGCCTCTTCGGAGGGCTCGGAAGTCCCCCCGCCTCCTGAGAAGTTGTCTTAGCAGCCCCCGTCCGCCCCCCCCCCCACGAAGGAGGGGGGGGGAAGTGAGAAGGGGCGGGCCTTCTCAGAAAGCTCGGAAGTCCCCCAGCCTCCTGAGAAGTGTGCTAGGCCCCCCCCGAAGAAGACAGAGAGCTTCTCTTCAGAAGGCCGTAGGGCTTCTGAGAAGTGTCGCCGCCTTCTGAGAAGGCTTCCTCCTTCTCACTTCCCCCTCGCTCGCCGACGATCAGAAGCTCGAGACTTCGAGAGCGCGAGGGGGGTCTCTCGGAGCCCTCTCGGCCCCCTTGAGCGCAGCGGAGGAGGCCCGGCGTGGGGGCCAGGGCCGAATTTGGGGGGGTCCGAAGCTCGAGACGTCGAAAGCGCGAACATCCGCAACAGAAGCCTTGGGAACATCAGAGTTAGCCACTAGCCAGCGTGGATCCCAAGCAGGCGGTTATTACATTGTGGATGTACGTATGCTATGTGGTGGAAGTTGTGTTGTGCAGGCTGTGTGGTGTGAGCTATGTGGTGCAAGCTGTGTGCCGAAAGCCATGTCGTGCTATCTACGTGGTGCAAGCTGTGTGGTGTAAGCTGCGTGGTGACGCGGCAACGAGGCGGCAACGCGGCTAAACCTCGCGGGACCCACCCAGCGTACGAGGTGGCCACGGGCGACAACAGAACGTGGAAAAGGTTCGCCAGGCCCATCCAATATCCAATTCTTCCGTGACGCATTCAGGAGCCCCGAAGGGCAAGTTTTGCTTGGGGATATGTGTGCCGACTCCAGAGGCCCTCCTGGGGGTCCTCCTGGAGCCCTTTTGGGTTGTCCTGGACGCCGCAGGAGTCCCGGCGCGCGACGCGCCCGCTGCCCGCGCGCGCGCGGCGCGGCGCGCAGCGAGGCCCTCTCGCCGCACTTCGCGCGCGTCTTCTGCCGGCTCCTCTTCGTGAGCGCCGCCGCCGCCTCTGGGGGGCAGCCGGGCAGCGGCCGCCGCCGCCGCCGTCTTCTCGGGGGCGTCCAAGGGTGGGGGTGATGATAAGCTCCGAGGCGGGGATTTGCCGCGGAGACCCATGCCAAGAAACACCCTGCGTGCCTCCAGGGTGCCCTGGGGTTCTTGGGTTTCGAGGGTTTTGCTATGGAAAGCGCGACGTCCCCACGCTAAATCAATGGACGTCTTGGGGTCTCAGGGTTGGCTTTCTTGTGGAAGGTTTTTTGTGGTCGAGCCCCTACTGTACCCAGAACCACCGCCTGGGGGATCGATCTTCGCGGACCTTCACAGGCGGTGGATATGGAACTCATATATTCGGGCCCCCAGGGACCAAGAATTGTCCGTATCCACCGCCCGTTGGGTCCCCAGGACGTCGGTTCCCAGGCGCTGGATATGGATAAATCCCTGCCTCGCAATTAGCGGGGTGTTGATATCATGGACTCCTCCTCCTGGGAACAGCAGTAGTGTTGTCACGAGGTAGCGCACATGGAGGTTGGGTCGGGGTTGGTGGTGGAGGATTGTTCTGATGGTCCTTCGGCGGGAGATGCCAGAGGTCATAGGCTATCCGTTTACGTATGCCATCGCCTCTGCAGCAGTTTGGCACAACGCCACGATCAAGCGTCGAGTCGAGGCTACGTGTAGGGTTGCTGGAGTCCTGCAGCGCCGTAATAAAGTACGTGAGTTGAGAACAATTTTCGCTTTTTCTCTTACTTGAGGGGGGAGCCAGAGGGGTGGGGATATCATTCATGACCTGGGGCCACGACGTCTCCCCGATGTGATTGCCCCCTCTCCTTCCTCCACTTTCGACGCGCCCCCTTCACCTCCCCCCGCCCCTCGTCCGCGCACATGCCTCGGGCCATGGTGCCCTTCCCCCCCCCACACTCTCGGCGGCGAGCGAGGGGAGGAAGCGAGAAGGAGAAGGCCTTCCCAGAAGGCTCGGAAAAGTGCTCTGGAGCCTTCCCCGAAGACGCAGAGCACCTCGCAGAAGGCGCGAGGGCCTCTGAGAAGTCCCGCCGCCTTCTGAGGGAGACATCCCCTCCTTCTCGCTTCCCCCCCTCGCTCGCCGCCGGCACTCCTCCCGGGCCTTCCCTCCCGGGAGCACGCGAGCCACGATCGCCGTGGAGGAGAGGGCCCCCCCGAGGGCAGGAGGAGGGCCCCTGTGCTTTCTCGGCGCTCCCGCCCTCCCGGGCGGGGCCCCGGGGGCCAGGGCCCGGCTCCGTCGGGACCCGCACTCGGGGACCTCGAGGCCAACGCCAACAACACTGTCTCGGAGGAGGAACATCGGCGGCGAGCGAGATGGGGGAAGTGAGAAGGAGAAGGCCTTCTCGCAAGGCGGCGACACTTCTCAGAAGCTCAGAAGCCCTCGCGCCTGCCGAGAAGGTTTCTGCGTCTTCGGGGAGGGCTCAGGACACTTCTCAGAAGGCCGGGGGACTTCCGAACCTTCTGAGAAGGCCCGCCCCCTCTCGCTTCCCCAACAGGCGCGCCGCCGAGAAAAGGTGGACAGCGCGCCAGTGGATGGCCCGGAATACACCAAAGGGGGGGGTGCTCGCAGAACCCCCACCCCCCCTCCCCCCCTTCAAAGGGGGGGGTGGGATTTTCGACCCCCCCCCCTCCACCCTTTAAGGGGGGGGTCCGACCCCCCCCCCCTTGAAGGGGGCGGGGGGGAGTTCCGGACCCCCCCCCTCCCCCCCTTGGCGCTGTAAAGGGGGGGGGTCGAACCCCTCCCCCCTCTCCCCCTTTGCGCCGACCGAACAGGGTGCTGGGGAGGGGGCCTCTCGGGTAGTGAGTAGGGCATAGAGTGTTTTTGGAGTAGCGATTGGTGAGTAGTGGGTATTTGATAGTGAGTGAGCGCAGTGAGTCGTGAGTGGTTAGTAGTGGGTAATGGGTACTGGGTAGTGGTAGTAGTGAGTCGCGCGTAGAGATTCGTGAGTAGTGAGTAGTGGGTAGTGGGTCGTGAGTAGCGGGAAAGAAGTAGTGAGTAAGGAATTGTGAGTAGTGAGTAGGGAGGAGTGAGTAGTGTGTAGTGAGTAGTGCATAGTGAGTAGTACGCAGGGAGTAGGGAAGAGGGACTAGAGAGTAGCGAATAGCGAGGAGTGAGTAATGAGTAGTGCGCAGTGAGTAGAGAGTTGTGCGTAGTGAATGGTGAGTAGCGAGTAGCGAGTAGGGAATAGCGAGTAGGGAGTAGCGAGAAGTGAGTAATGAGTAGCGAGTAGAGCGTTGTGAGTAATGAGTAGTGAGGAGGGAGTGGTCAGGAGTCATTAGTGAGTATGGAGAAGTGAGTTGTGACTAGTGAGTAGGGAGTAGTGAGTAGTCGATAGTTAGGTAGTAGTGAGTAGTGGATAGTGGGAGCGTAGTGAGTAGTCAGTAGTGGGTAGTGAATAGTGCGTACTGGGTAGGAGTAGGGCGCAGGGAGTAGCGAGTGGTGAGTAGTGCGTACTGTGTAGGGAGTAGCGCGTAGCAAGTAGTGGGTAGTGAGTGGTGAGTTGTGGGCAGTGGGTAGTGAGTAGTGGAATGTGTGTAGTGAGTAATGGATCGTGGTTAGTGTGTAGTGAGTAGTGATTTGTGATTAGTGAGTAGTGGGTAGTGAGTTGTGTTTAGTTCGGGGGCGGAAAAGAGGGGGGTGATGACTAGGGGGGGTGGATATCATGGCGGGGGCCATGATATATCCCCAGATTTCATGGCGCCTCTTCTAATTTCATTGCGTCCCTGGCTCCCCCGCTGGACCGCGCACATGCCGCCGGTCATGATTTGCACACCCCCCTGTTGGACACCCCCCTCTTGGCCGCTCCCGAATAGTGAGTAGTGAGTATTGAATTGTGGGTAGTGAATGGTGAGTAGTTTGCAGTGAGTAGGGAGTAGTGAGTAGTGCGTCGTGGGTAGTGGGTCGTGGGTAGTGAGTAGTGAGTCGTGAGTAGTAAGTAGTGACAAGTGGGTAGTGAGTAGTGAGTAGTGAACTGTGGATAGTGAGTAGTGCGTAGTGAGTAGCGAGTACTGTTTGGGGCTAGGGTTTGGGCTTGGGTTTAGGGTTAGGGGTTAGGGTAAGGGTGAGGATTAGTGTTAGGGGTGAGTGTTGGGGGTGGTAGGGGTTGGGTTCCGGAGACCGGGGGTGCCGTGGCGAAAGGGGGGCAGGGGGGGGTTCGAATTTGGCGGCCAAAAGGGGGGAGGGGGGGGAGGGTCGGACCTGAGGGGGGGGGGTCCCCGACGACGGACCAGGAAAGGGGGGGGGGGTCCCACCGACGGTTCGGGAAAGGGGGGGGGGGCCGGGGGGGTCCCCGACGAAGGATCGGGGAAAGGGGGGGGGGTCCCAACCCCCCGCCCCCCTTGGGGTCATCCAGCGGCGCGCCCTCGAAAAGGTGCCCATATTGCTACGCTCCCCTCTGTTCCCCCCTTTTGGCATCCTGCGAGGCCCTCGTCGCCATCGCTGGATTCGTCTTGAAATTCAGGTCAGGACGCACCCAGGGAGAGGTCCAGGGAGAGGCTGTAGGTACCCCTTAGTCTCCCCAGTATCGGCGATATGCTTCCACCGAGGGAAGATCATCCCGATCTCGGGGATGATGCAAGTATTCGGGTTTCTCAGGTGGCCGAAACATGTCCGCCAACACCGAAATCTAGGACCATCCGCCCCCAGTAGAGGTAGCCCCCTGTGTTGGTGTTGGTGCTCGTTCCCAAGCCTCCAACGCTCCCGTCACGCCAGTCTTCGCCGACGCCACCGTCGCCGTGATCCTCCCTCGTCGTCTTCCCCTGGTCGTCGCCGCCCTTCGTCGCCGCCTTTCGGCGTCGTCCCTCGTCGCCGCCCCTTGACGGGAGGAGGCCAGGAGCCAGGGGCCCTCGAATTCGAGGGGGCCAGCGGTTTGTTTGATGTTTTGAGCCTGATGCATCCCGCTCGTTCCTTTGCATCCCCCCATTCTTTTCTCCAACAAACAGATAACACCAGCATAAACATTAACTTTCGATTGTCAGCGCGGATTTCTTTGATCTGCGTTGTGCCCCCTCTGGCGGCGCCTCCAGCGCCGCTCCCGGGTGTCCCGCGCAGATCCAGGGAATCTACGCGGATCGTCGACATTTTGTGTTGATGCCGGTGTTCTTCTTCCGTTCTCCTTCCTCGTCCCCATCGTCCTCCTCCTCTCCCTGTCCTCCCTGTTCAAGACTATCTCCTCCGCGTCGCACCAGAAGGTGTGTTGGTAGGGCCAGTCAGGGCGTCTCGCTTGATGTTGCCTCGCCTCTGTGGTCGCGAGACTAAACGTGGACCCAACAGTTACACGCATGGAGAGCGGGTCGTGTTCAAAACGTTGGTTTACCCTCTTTTGCCGCGCGCACTCAGGCTTGAGTTCCCAACGATCACATAGATGCAGGGCGAATCGCATTGAACATGCGACTCTCGCCACGGCGCCGCGCACATTCGCCCGAAAAGTTTCCAAGAGCAACAGGTAATTATGGAGGGCGAGTGGTTTTCAAATGTGGCTCTCGCGTCAGCACCACGCACTGTGGCGTACAACCTTGAACCGTCGAGGATGGAGGGCTGGTCGTTTTCAAAACGTGGTTCTTGCCATCGCGCCGCGCATATTCGTCTTACAAGCTCATAGAAAGCACTAGGATGGAGGCGGTTCCTCTTCGAAATGGGGATCCGACCCAATGCTGAAAATTACGCAAGGGCGACAGGGACGGAAGGGCCGTTCCTTCTCGAATTGGGACAATCGCTCAAAGGGTCCTTCAAAATGTACGACCCGACGTACAATCCAGTTGCATTGCCTCGTGATTCCGCCACCGCGCTCGGTCGGCCGCCCGGGGGGAAGGGTTCATGCCTCATTTGGGGGCCTCTTACGGGCTCTTGGGGGTCTCTCGGGGTCTCTTGGGGGCCTCTTGGGTCGTCTTTGGGCGCTCTTCACTAGTCTAACGTCTTTGGATGCCGTTTCGGGGGTCTCGCTTTGCCGTCTAGGGGCCTTCTCAGGGGCCCTGTAGCGCCGCCTTGGAGGTCTTTGAGCCCGTCGTGGGGCCTGTTGTATACTGTTGAGCCCCCCTTCTTCCGCCGTCTTGGTGCCCTCTTAGAACCTCTTGGGCTGTTTGGGGAATATGGTGGATGCCTCTAGAGCCGTCTAATGGGTTCGGAAGCCCGAAGAGGTGCCAACGCTGAATAAATGTCAAACACAGGGAACATCACTAGATTATGAATTTCCGGACCCTCCTGGGGGTCCTTTTGACGGTCTTTTGGGGCTCATGGGCACCTCTTGGATCGTCCTGGAGCCATTGCGGCCACATGAGGTAGTTTTGCGTCATCTTGGCTGATTTGGATTTTCAACTCGTTGATCTTCAACACCATGCTATGGCATGTAATACTATGCGACATCCGGCTGTGCGAATAGAGAGGATATCCATGCCATGGTAAGGGATGGGAGGGAAGGGTATGACATCAGATATGACGCGGGCGCACCTAGCTTACCCTCCTCCCCTTCCGCCCTCCCCCGTGCCGCCGGCGCCCCGCGCGAGGTGATGTGGGTCAACCTCGGGGAGCGCGCGCCGTTCCGCGTGGTCTGGGCGGCGGGCCCCGCCTGGCCGGCTGCCTCCGTCGGCCGGGCCTTGCTCGGACGCCTCCGACGACGACGACGCCGACGACGACGACGACGAGCAGCGAGCGGCGAGCGGCGAGCGGCGAACGCCAAGCGGCGAGCGCCGTGCGCGGCGGGTGCAGGGCGGCGGGCCCCGCCGTTCCGGCCGCGCCGCGCCCAGACCGGGCGGGGTCCCAAGAGGCGCCGGGCGCATACAGTGGGAGCGCGCATCAAGAAACCAGATGCTTTTCGTAAGGGTATCCTGGGTTTCTTCGCTCCTCGCGCTAGTCACCCGCAGCCGTTGAAGGAGCTGCTAGGTTCAGGGTGCTCCAGGTTTCCCCTCAGGTGCGCCTCGCGCACGGGTTCGCAGGGTTGGGTCTCTTGCGAGGGTTTCTTGCGGCCGCGCCCGCACTGTATAATATAGTGGGCGATTGGGTTCCCGCTCCCTCCCAAGGGTGTTCGACGAGAAGTTCATCAAAGGAAGAAGTGCGGGGACTGTGACCACGATGTCGCGGGATCCTGTCGGTGCCGATCTTGATCGTGGTCCATGTCGGCCGTCGCCGAGTCGCGGGGATGATCCACGACCTGACGCTGACCAAGATGGACGGTAACCAAGACCGACACGGCGTTTCCGCGCTCAGGCTTGGTCATGGTCCCAGTTTCACGCCCCTCCAGTTTTTGGTGGGGTTCCCCCAAAGAGCCCCCAGGACCCCCCCCTGAGAGGGGGCTTCTGCTCCCCCCTCCCTTCCCCTTCCTTAAGGGGTGGTTTTGGGCCCTCCAGGAGCCCCATCCAAAGACCTTTTCCATGATCAGGGGGGACCGAGGGAGCCGCGGCCATCAGTCTTTGGGGCCTGCCTAGGGAGGAGGAGGAGGAGGAGGAGGAGGAGGAGGAGGAGGAGGAGGAGAGAGGAGGAGGAGGAGGAGAGGACGGAGAAGGAGCCCCGCCCTCCCCGCTCCCTGCCTCCCTGCGTCCGCGCACGCATGCGAGCGGCACGTCGCTCCCCCTGGAGATACACACAGTCAAGACGCTGAGATAAGGAGCAGTTCTCCTCCTTCTTCTCCCCCTCCTCCTCCTCCCCTCCCCGCCCCCCCTCCCCGCCCCTCCTCCCCGCCCCTCCTCCCCGCCCCTCCTCGTCGATGTTCCTTAGGTCCTTCCACGGCTGGTCCTTCCGCCCTCCTCGTGATTGAAGGCGGCTTGGGGGCTTCAGTGGGGCCTCGTTCCTTCTGTGGCGTTCCTTCTCTCAGCGGCCCGACGGTACTCGAAGACGGCCTAAGCATGTGGCCTTGCGGAGCTCCGCGCGGATTTCTTGGATCGGCGCTGGGCCTCTCTGGCGGCGCCTCCGGCACCGCGGCGCTGCGGCTGGCGCTGTCCCCGCGCCAGGGAGGGGGGTCCAGCGCAGATCCAGCAAATCCGCGCAGACCTCCAGACCTATGTGCCTGTGCCGTTTTTCTCAGGCTACTTTGGTCGTCGAGAAGCAGCGTTAGAGGTGAATTCAGGAGAGAAAAGAACACGGACATAATTAATCGCCGCATCCCAGGAAAATATGAGAAGCGAGGGGGGAAACGAAAAATCCATAGATAATTTGTGCCTATTTATTTGTGTGTCCCTGGGCCCCTCTTATGAATAGGGTGAAGGGGGGATGCGTCGACCCCCGCCCAGGACCGTGCGGTCTCTCTTTCGGGGGCCTGTCGCCGATCTGTCCGCGATACACCGCCGAGTCCGTGCTGATGTCGCTCCCCCCCCGGAGCCGGTCGCCCCCTGACGCTTCCCCTCGGGAGGCGGGGGGAGGAGGAGGAGGAGGAGGAGGAGGAGGAGGAGGAGGAGGAGGAGGACCCGGTGTTTGATCGCGTGCGTCCAGTAGCTTCTCTTCGTCACGGCTGCACTCCCCATGGCGCACATTTTTTGGCGGCGCGGAGCAGAGCGTCGGGCGAAGAGGCGCGCGCTGCCGACCCGGGTTACGCGGTGTTGGGACCCAGGATCCGCCCATGGGGGATCGATTGACCAGCACGCACACGAAGAAAAGTCCAGGGGGGTTCTTGTTCGGGGCCGCAAGGACGGCCAGGGGGCCTGGGTGAGAGGGTCCTGGTTGTCTTTCGCCGCTCTCGGCTTCCAGGGCACCAGGACCGTTCACAAGCTGGTCTGGGGGAACGCCCAGGATCCAGGAAGCGTTTCTCCTCCATGGCCTTCCTCCCTCAGTCCTCCCTTCTTCCCCTCCCACCTCTTTCCTGGCCTACCCCCCTTTCCCCCGTTTCTCCCGTCTCCCCCGTCGCCTTGCCGTCTCTTCTGCTCCTGGGCCACCCCTTCACGCCGACGTCAGCGCAGCTGATTGGTAGCGGGCCGCCCCTGCGGGTGATCGGGAGTCCCTTGCAGCGTGAGATTGGGCCGTGATGCCAGGCTGAAGACGCCGTCGTCGGGCGATCTTCACCGGCGTCAGAAGACGCGGTCGGGGGCCTCGTAGCCGCTCGGGGCGCGGGGAGTCCCGGGGAGGCGACGTTGTCGATGACTTCCCGCGCGTAGCCGCTGGCTCTTTGGGGTTCGCCCAGCCCTTCCCTGGAAGCGGCGTGATGATGCGCGCTCGAGGGCCTCTCTCGTCTCTCTCGCGCCTCGACCACTGCCAGGGTTGTTGTTGCCCTGGATCCTCTGGGCACTGTCCCAGGGCCGAGACCGGACCCGCCCCCGTGCCCCGAAGTCGCGGAGCAGGAGAATCCGTTTGGATGCCTCTAAGACTCGGGCTGGACAAAAGGGCCGGACAGGGGAAGAGGGGGGGGGATGAAAGCTGCTGCATGCAGCTGGTTTCGGCGCCTCCTGGCGCCAGGAGGCGCCAGGAAAGCCGGGTACGTGAGCTGATCCTCTAGCCTGCCCAATGTTGCCCTGCCCGTTCGTCCCCCCCGAGAGACGCTGGAAGGCTGGGCCTCCCTCTGCCCCTTTCCGCCCCCGCTGCCTCTCGGGGCCTCTGGCGCGTCTCGATCCCCAGGTCGAGATGGGCGCTGGCTCAGGCGGCGCCGCCCCCCGAGCTCTCGTCAGAAGACTCTCCGCCCGACCCTGTCGCCTCGGCTCCAGAGGGCGAGGAAGTCCGTCAAGTGATATCCGACACCGAACTGAACCTCCAGTCGATTTCGAAGGTCGCCGCGGCTATCGGCGCAAGGTGTTTATCAAGGAGTGGTATGCCCCTTCCTAGCCCCCACCCGCTCTGCGATGCAGATGGCTCATACTTAACCATCTAGCGACAGAGAGCTGTCAATTCATGCCCATCATTGACAGTATGTGCTTTCTCATTAGGGGTCTCTCATCTCGCAACAAGGAGAGAGAGAGAGAGAGAGAGCAGAGGACGAAGGAGGGAGGGATCTTGGTCACCCGGGGGCAGGGTCCATATAGATCAGATCGATCCGATTCGATGTCGACTCCAGCCAGCCCGATCCGATTCGATTCCGATGTTTCTTCGATCCGATGCGGGCCGACGCGTGCGTGGCGCTGTTGTGCGTCTTAGTGCGGCCGATTCGATTCGATTCCGACTCCGTGCCGATGCAGCCCGATCCGACGCGCATTCCGGTTCGATCCGATTTCTCGATGCGGGTGGGAAGAGGACCGTGTTTCGCGCGTCGCGGCCCAGGCCAGGGAGTTGCCATTCTCCAGGGTGGTCTCGCGAGGGCGCGCAGACGACAGCGCGTCGAGGGGCACGACGGGCGAGGTTGGGTGACATCGAGGATGGGAAGGGCGAAGGGCGGAGGACGAACTGGAGAGAGAGAGAGAGAGAGTGATATGAGGACGAATAGGAGGTGGCGGATGAGGAGGATGGCATTGGAGCCGGCTGGGGGTCCGAGGTGGCATAGCATTGGTTCTTGCAAGCAGGAAGGGCGGAAGAGAGTCGAGGTTCTCGCTTCGAGGAGGTTTCCTACCTTCTTCCCGCCTCTGGGGGCCGTTTTTGGCCTCGGGACCGTCAGAAACGGATCCGGGGTGAATTTGCGCCAGATGCGCCCCTGGAAAGGTCTGGGGATTTCTTCGCTTGCACAGGGTGTCTAGAGCTCTGGCCATTTTATTCCGCGTCGCAGACCCACCTCCCCCCGCCCCTCCCCCCGCGTCCCCAGCGCCACAGTGGGACCCCCGCTCCGCGGCCCTCTGCCCCGAGCCCCCCCGCGTCCCCAGCGCCACAGTGGGAGCCCCGCCCATGGCCCCCGGGCCACGAACGCTTTATTCCGCGTCGCACACCCATTGCCCCCTCCGCCACGAACGCTTCATTCCGCGTCGCGCAACTCCCTCCCCCCGCCCGTTCCCCCCCCCCCCCCGCGTCCCCAGCGCCACAGTGGGACCCCCGCTCCGCGGCCCTCTGCCCCGAGGCCCCCCGCGTCCCCAGCGCCCCAGTGGGAGCCCCGCCCATGGCCCCCTCCGCCACGAACGCTTGATTCTGCGTCGCACACCCACCTGCCCCCGCCCCTCCCCCCGCGCCCCCAGCGCCACAGTGGAAGCTCCGTTCCGCGGCCCTCTACCCCGAACTTTCCCGCGTCCCCAGCACACCAGTGGGGGCCCCGCCCAGTGCCCCCTCCGCCGCGGACGCTTCATTCCTCGTCACACACCCACCTCCCCCCGCCACTCTCCCGCGCCCCCGGCGCCACAGTGGGACCACCGTTCCGCGGCCCCTTGCCCCGAGCCCCCCAGCGTCACCAGCGCCCCAGTGGGAACCCCGCCCATTGCCCACTCCGCCACGACCGCCTAATTCCGCGTCGCACACCCACCTCCCCCCGCCCCTCCCCCGGGCGTCCCCAGCGCCACAGTGGGGCCCCCGCTCCGCGGCCCTCTGCCCCGAGCCCCCCCGCGTCCCCAGCGCCCCAGTGGGGGGCCCGCCCATTGCCCACTCCGCCACGAACGCTTTATTCCGCGTCGCACATCCACCTCCCCCCGCCCCCTCCCCCGCGTCCCCAGCGCCACAGTGGGACCTCCGTTCCGCGGCCCTCTGCCCCGAGCCCCCCCGCGCCCCCAGCGCCCCAGTGGGGGGCCCGCCCATTGCCCACTCCGCCACGAACGCTTTATTCCGCGTCGCACACCCACCTCCCCCCGCCCCTCCTGGCTAGGTCCATGAAAATCCCACATCCTCGATTACGCCTTCTACTTCTCTCGGCTCGCACGCATACCGTTCCTTGCCTGGTTCGCGCACTGGTCCTGGAGGAACTTGGTCCACGACGTCTGTTCGGACACGGTCTGAGGCCACGGCCTTTTGCGCCCTGCCCAACAGGCCACGGGCACACCTGCGTGCCCGGCTCTGGCGCCCTAGCCTCGCCTCGCCTCCCCCGCGTCATCAGCGCCACAGTGGGGCCCCCGCTCCGCGGCCCTCTGCCCTGAGCTCCCCCCCGCGCCCCCAGCGCACCACTGGGGGTGCCCCGCCCATTGCCCCCCCCGCCACGAACGCTTTATTCCGCGTCGCAGACCCACCTCCCCCCGCCCCTCCCCCCGCGTCCCCAGCGCCACAGTGGGACCCCCGCTCCGCGGCCTTCTGCCCCGAGCCCCCCCGCGCCCCCAGCGCCCCGTTGGGAGCCCCGCCCATTGCCCCCTCCGCCACGAACGGTTTATTCCGCGTCGAATGCCCACCTCCCCCCGCCCTTCCCCACGCCCCCAGCGCCACAGTGGGACCCCCGCTCCGCGGCCCTCTGCCCCGAACCCCTCCGTGTCCCCAGCGCCCCAGTGGGAGCCCCGCCCACTGCCCCCCCGACTCGAACGATGTACTTCGCCGCGTCCCCAGCGCCACAGTGGGACCCCCGCTCCGCGGCCCTCTGCCCCGAGCCCCCCCGCGTCCCCAGCGCCCCAGTGGGAGCCCGCCCATTGCCCACTCCGCCACGAACGCTTTATTCCGCGTCGCACATCCACCTCCCCCCGCCCCCTCCCCCGCCCCCAGCGCCAGCAGTGGGACCTCCGTTCCGCGGCCCTCTGCCCCGAGCCCCCCCGCGCCCCCAGCGCCCCAGTGGGGGGCCCGCCCATTGCCCACTCCGCCACGAACGCTTTATTCCGCGTCGCACACCCACCTCCCCCCGCCCCTCCTGGCTAGGTCCATGAAAATCCCACATCCTCGATTACGCCTTCTACTTCTCTCGGCTCGCACGCATACCGTTCCTTGCCTGGTTCGCGCACTGGTCCTGGAGGAACTTGGTCCACGACGTCTGTTCGGACACGGTCTGAGGCCACGGCCTTTTGCGCCCTGCCCAACAGGCCACGGGCACACCTGCGTGCCCGGCTCTGGCGCCCTAGCCTCGCCTCGCCTCCCCCGCGTCATCAGCGCCACAGTGGGGCCCCCGCTCCGCGGCCCTCTGCCCTGAGCTCCCCCCCGCGCCCCCAGCGCACCACTGGGGGTGCCCCGCCCATTGCCCCCCCCGCCACGAACGCTTTATTCCGCGTCGCAGACCCACCTCCCCCCGCCCCTCCCCCCGCGTCCCCAGCGCCACAGTGGGACCCCCGCTCCGCGGCCTTCTGCCCCGAGCCCCCCCGCGCCCCCAGCGCCCCGTTGGGAGCCCCGCCCATTGCCCCCTCCGCCACGAACGGTTTATTCCGCGTCGAATGCCCACCTCCCCCCGCCCTTCCCCACGCCCCCAGCGCCACAGTGGGACCCCCGCTCCGCGGCCCTCTGCCCCGAACCCCTCCGTGTCCCCAGCGCCCCAGTGGGAGCCCCGCCCACTGCCCCCCCGACTCGAACGATGTACTTCGCCGCGTCCCCAGCGCCACAGTGGGACCCCCGCTCCGCGGCCCTCTGCCCCGAGCCCACCCGCGTCCCCAGCGCCCCAGTGGGAGCCCGCCCATTGCCCACTCCGCCACGAACGCTTTATGTTCTTGCACAGGGTGTCCAGAGATTCGATCACTAAAGACCGCGTCGCGACGCACACCCACCTCTCCCTCTTCACGCACCATATCACCACCTCCCCTCCCCCAGCGGGGGCCCCCCCAGTTCCCTCTTCCGCCACGAACGCTTTATTCCGCGTCGCGACGCACACCACTTCCCCCACCTCCCCCCCCCGCGACGCACACCACCTCCCCCACCCCTCCTCCCGCGTCTCAAGCGCCAGAGTGGGACCCACGCCCCGTGGCCCTCTGCCCCTACCCCCCCCGCGCGCCCCCAGCGCCCCTGAGGGACCCCCGCCCACTGCCCCCTCCGCCACGAACGTTTTCTTCCGCGTCTCGACGCACGTCACCTCCCTCACCTCCCTCCCCGCGTCCCCAGCGCCCCAGCCGGGGCCCCCGCCCCGTGCCCCCTCCGCCCCGACAATTTTTTGCCGCGTCGCGACGCACTCCACCCTCCCCCCCCCCGTCCCCAGCGCCCCAACGGATCCCCGACCCCTCGCCCCCCCGCGTTCCCAGCGCCAGAGTGGGACCCACGCCCCGTGGCCCTCTGCCCCTACCCCCCCCGCGCGCCCCCAGCGCCCCTGAGGGACCCCCGCCCACTGCCCCCTCCGCCACGAACGTTTTCTTCCGCGTCTCGACGCACGTCACCTCCCTCACCTCCCTCCCCGCGTCCCCAGCGCCCCAGCCGGGGCCCCCGCCCCGTGCCCCCCCCCGTCCCCAGCGCCCCAGTTGGACCCCCGCCCCGTGGCCCTCTGCCCCAAGCCCCCCCAGTGCCCCTTCCGCCGCGACCATTCTATTCTGCGTCGCGACGCACACCACCTCCCCCACCCTCCCCCCGGGACTCCCCACCGCGTCCCTAGCGCCCCGGTAGGAGCCCAGCCCAGTCACCCCGAGCCCCCCCGCGTCCCCAGTGCTCCACTAGGAACCCCGCCCACAGCCTCCTCGAACGTTTTTTTCCGCGTCGCGACGACCACCACCAACCCCACCTCCCCCCGCGTCCCCGGCGCCCCAATCGGCCCGAGCCCAGCCCACTGTCCCCTCCGCCCCGCCGCGTCGCGACGCACACCACCTTCCCCCCCCCGCCGCGTCCCCAGCGCACCAGTGGAACCCCCGTTCCGTGGCCCTCTGCCCCGGGCCGCCCCGCGACCCCAGCGCCTCAGAGGGATTTCCGCCCCGTGCCCGCCCCGAGCATTTTCTTCCGCGTCGCGACGCGCACCACCTCCCCCACCTTCCTCTCCGCGTCCCCAGCGCCCCAGTGGGCGCCCGCCCCGTGGCCCTTTTGCCCCGACTATTTCATTCCGCGTCTCGACGCAAACCACTTCCCCCCTTACCCCCCGCGTCCCCAGCGCCCCGGCGGGACCCCCGCCCCGTGCCTCCCCGCCCCGACATTTTTTTCCGCGTCGCAACGCACACCACCTACCCCCCCTTCCGCGCCCCCAGCGTCTCAGTGGGACCTCCGCCTCGTGCCCCCGAGCACTTTATTTCGCGTCGCAACGCACGCCCCTTCCCCCCCCTCCCCACCTGGGATTTGGGCACCGTTGATGGGCCCCGAGGGGCGATGTCTTGCCCCCTCTTCCCCCCTCCTCCTCCACCTTTTCCCCTCCCCCCTCATTTTTTGTGCAAGAACCATGGCACACGTGCCATTGTTTTGAGCGCAGTTGGCTCCATCCCCCCTGCATCCTACACTATTTCCTGGGGTCTTTAGACCCCCCGGCCCCCTCCAAGGCGAGCCGCAGTGAAACCATCATATATCAGCGATGATGCAATACCCTCGTACTCCTGTCTCAAATTGTCCCCGCCAAGGGTAAAGCATTCATGTGCACTCTGGGACGCGCCCCCTTGCAATATGACCCACTTAGCTCGTCATTGCGGCCAGCGCCCCGTTTTGAACAGGAACCATGTTCCGTCCATGTAGCGTCAGGAATTTCTAAGCCGAGTGCGCGCATCGTCGAGGCGATAACCACATGTGGAACGAAGTCGTCGTCCGTTTGCGCAGTCCTAGGAGACTTCCCAAATGAACGCATGTGGCTAACATTGAGATACTGGGAGAGCGAGAGTACAAGCAGTTACTAGGAGTCTTCCAAAATAAGCGAGAGCAATAGTTTTAAACATACTTATTATCAATATGCGCAGTTGCTCAAACATTCCGGGACGAATGTGCGCGCCGCTACGACCATTGCCCATAGCAACATCTTGAACGCGGGCCAGCTGTCATCTGCATAGTTGCCTGGACTGGGTGCGTGACACCAAACATGTTGCGAACGTGTCAGGCGAAACTAAGGTCCAGCCAACTCTACCAACATGTTCTTTGGAACGGAGACAGGGGGATGAAGAGGGAGGAGCACGATGATGGTGGAAGAAGGAGGGGGGGAAGGCGGCACGCGGGAGGAGAGGGGACGGGGTGGGGGAGGGGTGTGGGAGGAATGAGAAAAGGGAAGGCGGGAAAAGAGCGGAGGATGGAGGAGAAGAGGAGGAGGACGAAGGGATTAGGGAAGGTGGGGAGACGGAGCAGGGAGAAGGGAGGAGGAAGGGATGAGGCGGGCGAAGGACGGAGGGAAAAGCGAGGAGGTGGAGGGGTGGACGCGAAGCTGATCTGTTGAGACGCTCGCTGCGCCCACAATGCAAGCCCCCCCCGCCGGCCCGCACTTTCCTTCGCCCCCCCCCCCCTCCCTCTGCCTGCCCCTCCTCCGCCTCCACATCCATCTCCCCTCGCTCCTTGACTCGGAGAGGATGGGGAGGAGGAGGAGGAGGAGGAGGAGGAGGAGGAGGAGGAGGAGCAGGAGGTTGATAAAGTGGGGGAGTTGGAGGCCGAGGAGGAGGAGGAGGAGGAGGAGGAGGAGGAGGAGCAGGAGGTTGATAACGTGGGGGAGTTGGAGGCCGAGGAGGAGGAGGAGGAGGAGGTTGGAACGTTGTCGCCGCCAGCCAAAGTGTCAAGCGCCGCCAGGGGCAGAGAAAAAGGAGGAGAAGCATGAAACGGAGGGCGAGCGGTAAGAGGAGGGATGAGGAGGAGGAGGAAAAGGAGGAGGAGGAAGGAAGAGGTGATGAGAAGGACGGGGACGAGGGACGAGGAGGACAAGGAGGCGGACCAGACCCTTCAGCCGTCGTCGTTAGGAGGAGGAGGTTGAGGAGGAGAAAGAGGAGGAGGGGCAGGGAGAGGAGTACACCTGCAGCCAAAACGTAGAAATCTTCATCACTTTGGCTTCGGAATAGGCTCCAGGTTCCTCAGGTACCTCCGCAGGTGTTTCGCGAGAGCTCCTTCCTGCGTCCAGGCACAGCTATGGCCGAAGAGGGGCTTCGTCTACTATTCGAGGGCCCCCGTGGCAAGACCGACTGTCACTGCATGCTGCCCCCGCACCTCTGGCGCCCAGCTCACGCCCCCCGAAGGCCAGCTCTCCTACGACGTCCAGCGGTGCGTCCGCGGGAACGAGATCGGCATCGCGCCTCCGCCCGGTTACCCTGTTTGCACTTTTGGCGTTTACGTTGAAGTCGGCAATCGATCACGTCGCCGATGGATTGGATGACCGTCGCATCGTCTCGGGACGTCCACTTCTTCTCATCCTCAACGTCGTTCTCCTCATCCTCCCCTCGTCCTCCTACTTCTCGACATCCCCCCCCCTCCGCGTCCTCCTCGGGAAGCGCTCTGCACACGCCATCATTCATCGTTCTCGTTGTTATTTGTGTTGCTGCCCTCTTTTTCCGCCCCTCTCTCCTCACCCCCCTCCACCCAGTCCCCATCTGGAACGCGCTGTGGAGGCGGGCGGAAAGGGGGGTCCATGATGGACCGCCAGACGCAGGCTGGTTCGCTAACCCCCCCATTTTGATGTCCACCCCCTTGCGTCCGCCCCGGCTTCCATGGTCCGCCCTGCTTACGCTCTTCAAGCTCGCCCTCGGGGGCAAGACGGATCCCCTAGCCTCTTCTGGCCTCCTCTCGTCTCCTTTGGCTTGCTCGCCCCTTTGGAATAGGGTCTTTCCTGGCAGACTCGATTATTACGTTCCCCCGATGCGAGGGGGGCGGTGGCACTTTCGGTCCGACGGACAGGCCCTGCGAAGGCAGCGCGGGCGGGCCGGGGCCCAGAAAGTGCCCATGCCGCACTTCGGGCGAGCCAGGAGGAGGAGGAGGAGGAGGAGGAGGAGGAGGAGGAGGAGGAGGAGGAGGAGGAGGAGGAGGAGGGGCTGCTGGTGCCTGCCTGCTAGTGCCGCACGCCAGGGGCGCCGCGCCCTCCGCCTGCCTGGAGTAGGGCCCCTCCCCCAGCCGGGGAACGTCGGCTGACCACCTCGCAGCTCCTGGCCAGACCCACCCTGGGCACAGGGTAAAGTGTCCACCCTTTCCTGGCCAGGCAGGAGGGCCTGGGGCCTACACGCCGATCCTGGCCAGGATCGGTGGTGAGCCAGTCAGTCGACGCCGCCCGACTCTGCCCCCCAGTCTTGGTGGCCTCTTCGGCCGTCCTGGTGCTCTTCTAGGGGCCTCTTGGGCCCTCTAGGGCTGTCTTGGGCGCCCAGAAGCCCGAAAGGGGGGGAACGCGAAAATCTCCAGAGGCACTGTGGGGGGTGCTCTCAGGGCCTCTTGTGCCATCTTGGGGCCATCTCAAATCTTTTTGGAAGCCTCTTGAGCCCCCCCCCCCCCTGGCTCGCCCGAAGTGCGGCATGGGCACTTGCTGGGCCCCGGCCCGCCCGCGCTGCCTTCGCAGGGCCTGTCCGTCGGATCGACGGTGCCACCTCCCCCCTTCGGATCGGGGGAACGTAAGACTCGAGTCTGCCAGGACTCGGTCAGGGCGTGAATTCTGATGGTCCAGTTCTCGTGTTTGGTACAAGCCCCCCCACCGTGGACTACCCACCTAACGTAACCTGGACCTCGGTGACGTGACACCGAGCCCGGCCAGCGCGGAATGGGCGTGACACCTGCGTGATGCTCCGAAGTGATGCTCCGGCTTGTGCGTGGGCCACATTCCTGATTCAAAATGGAGTTGCCGCCTGGGCGCCAGCGACATCCTTAATTGACCACGTTGTTCTCGCCTGTGCGTGGGCCACATCTCTGATTGAAAATGTGGCTGCCGCTTAGGCGGCAGCGACGCCCTTCATTGAGAATGTCGTTCTCGCCTTGGCGCCAACCAAGTGCCTGATTGTTGCAAATCATGGGAGCCTGGTAGACCCTCTTTAATTCTATATTCAGCATCGACTAGCGTCGATTAGCGACTGGGAGTCGATGAGATAGCGTCGGCTAGCGTCGATTAGGCTCGATTTAGCGTCGACTAGTGTCGATTAGCGTCGATTCGCAAGAGCCAACGAGATGGTATGGGAGACTCCCATGAGTTGCCGCCGCACTCGCAGCGGCAGCCCGCGCCACATTCCAGGCGAGGTCCTGCCATTTTTCCTGACGGCCCCGTCCGACCAACCCGAGTCCCCCAAACCCGAGTCTCACGCCTTCGGGCGGGGCCAGGACGGGGATAAACTTGTTCCAGGGCGTTCTGGAACGCCCTCCGCGGCGCCCGAGACATCCTCCAGAACCGCAAGTTCTCAGAGATTCTCGATTTATCCTGGAGGATTACGCCATTCCGCCGACCCCCAGAAAAAAGGAAGAAGTTCTTCAGGGTGGCATGTTCTGGACCACTCGATGTATCCTCACCCGATTTCTCTTCGTCCAGGCTTCGTCTTGCCATCCCGCAGCTTGGCCCCCCTCTGGCCAGCCCCCGCCCCCCAGCGGGCCCGGGCAGGCGCCCGCCGTTTGGCGGCGCTGGGCTGCGTCCTTCGAGGAGCCGGCCTCCCACTCCGCCGCTGGCCCGTGCGGGGGAGAGTGGGAGGAGCGGGAGTTGAGGAGGAGGGGGATTGGGAGGAGGGGAAGGAAGAGGAGGAGGAGGAGGAGGAGGAGGAGGAGGAGGAGGAAGTTTAGGAAGAGAAGGAGGAGGCTACGAAGGGTCACCGCGCGCTCGCCAGGCAGGTGTACGAGGCTGCCAAGAGCGCGGACTCTGCCAGCGAACTTGAGGCACACAACCTCATCCCAAGCACACACTTGCGTCCCGCAGACGTGCTCACGGGGGCGCTGGGGCAACGGTTCATGGTGCTCGACATCGGGATCGCCCCTTCCCCGGCGCGTGCAAAGCTGGCCCCGGGTGCGTGCCCAGCATGTACGAAAGGAAGACGGCGTATTTCGCCCCGTACAGCGATGTTCTGGACCGTCAGAGCGCCTTGTGCCAGCCCCTTGTCTGGCCAACCCCAGAGAAATCCAAGGACATGTCGGGCAAGTCGTTGCGGCTCCATCGCGAGTCGAGGGACGGCAGAAGGTTTCAAGCCCTTGGCGATTCCCTTTTCCCTCCGTTGGCTCCATTCGCCGACAAACGCGCTCAGCGAGCAGGGATGCTTGCACCCCCTTCGCTGGAACGGACACGGCTTCGATCGCGCCGCCTCCATCCTCCGGTTTTCCTCCTCTGTCTTTTCTGTTGCCGTTGCTGCTGTTGTTTCTCCTCCTACTCTTGGCGTCGTTACTGTTGTCGTCCCCGCCGTCGTCGTCTTCGCCCGTCGTTTTTCGCTTGTCGCTCGTCGCAGGCGGGGCGCCCCCACCTGTGCTGGAGCGCCGCGCTGCGACGCGCGTTTCGAGGCAGATACAGGCGTGGCGACCAGGGTCTTGCTCATCCTCCTGCCTGCTCCTCGCCGTGCTACTATCGTCGTCCTCGCCCGTACTCCTCCGAGGAAGACGAATTGGAGCGAGCGGCGGACGAGGATGTTCATTGGTTTTTACCTCCCCTCTTATTCTTCGCCTCGCGACTCATCATCCTCATCCTTTCTTCTTTTTGCTCATATTTCTCCTCCTCCTTTTCCTTTTCTTCTCTCCTCATACTTATCATCCTCATCGCCCTGCTCTTCCTATTGCGGTTCTTCGTCATTCGCCCCTCCTTCTCCCTCCTCATCGTCTTCCTTGCGCGAGCATCAAAGGAAGAAGGGGGAATCTGTTCCCAGGCCTTGACAGATATCAGGCGGGGGGGGGGGGGGCATCGGAACGAGAAGTGATTGCCGCCGCGACAGTTTGATGCGCGCCGCCGCGGGCCCCCCAACCCAAATCACCCCGGCCTGCGAGGTGGGCCATTTTCAACCAGATGTCTGGGCCTCCAAGGCTCCACCAACAAAGCCCAGCGGTTGCTTTGCATATGATATGCCTGCCTTCGGCCAAGTTCTGGAGCTTTCGGGCTCCCCAGAAGGACGGCCGCTGGCAACCATTATTTCTGAAGTTTGCCGGGAGGATGACGCCTCCCTCCCCGCAGACGGCCATGGCGTCGAGGAGCAAGAGAGAGCGCTGCGGCCCCGGAGCGGAGAGCGAAGGCGGGGCCCCCGTCGGCACGGCAAAGCGCCGTCGCCTCGCGACGGCCGTCGCGGTGGCCAGCCGGCCAGCCGCAGGCCCCCGACCCCCAGGGGGTGGTCACCGTCGCCGGCGGGGGAGGGCAGCCGCGCCAGCAGAGCATCAGCAAACTCCTCGGGAGGGCCCCCACGGAGTAGCGAACGCGCTGAGCCAGCTCTTCCACAAGGCCGAGGTGACGCGCGAGCTCCAGCGGCCAGACGCGATGGACCTTCGCGGCGAGGCGTTCCCAGTCGAGCTCATCAAGACGATCTTCTCAGTGATGGTCCGCGCGGCGTTCGGGAACACACTGAGGCTGGCGGCGCTGGAAACTGAAATCTACCACATCATCCACGATTCGTGCAAGGCGATGCGGATCACCGGGGCGCATTACGCGGACGAGGCCAACCGCACTCGGCGCGACCACGCTCAAGAGGACCGCGACCAGCAGCCCGTGGAGGAATTGGAGAAGGTCGGAGTGCCTCACCCACACTTGTCGATCGCACTTACCCGCGGAGTAGTGCAGCAGGGCGATCTCGCGGGAGCGGCTAACCACGGGGTGCCGAAGCAGTATCTCGACGGCATCAACGGCGATTCGACAGTCACGAACGAGACGCTACGCATGCATATTCGCCACTGTCAGATTTCGCACACGCGCGACCGCAAGCCGACGAAGATGCATCTCGAAGCGCACGCCTGAGGCGTGCAGCCAAACACCACCTCCCTCGCGCCGCGAGCGCCTGATTCAGATGTTCCTGGACAGCGCAGACATGTTTCAATTTCTACCGCAACAGTCGCGTCTCAGAATCGCAGCTTTTCGTCGCAGATGGCAACTCCTGGGGCCTTAGCGACCTTGAAGGCTGCTCAGAGTGGCACGACGGGTCCGATTGAGGCATCTACATGTCCGTTGATGCGTACTCCTTGTGTTCCACCCCGACAGCCTGCGGCTTTTCAGAAACTAGCCCTCTCGCGGCCGCCGCCGACCCCCTGGATGCCTTCGACTGCTGCCCGCTCGTCTGGGGGCGCGTTAAGCCAGGGAGGTAGTAAGAGGGAGTCGCCGATGCTGTCGAATTTTCACGCAGTTCCGCCGCGGGCGGCAGGATCCCCCCCCCACCCACCCACCCCCTTCGCCCTCCCCTCGTGGGCCCCTCGTCTGACCCTCCCCGCCTCGCCTCTTCCTCCAGCTTGAGCGCCAGCATCCTGAGGTTGACCGGGGCGGCCCCCAGGGAAAAAAATACAAGCACAATGTTGTTGTCTCCCATTTGTTGGGGGTGTGTTCTCCTTTGCTGCGGCGGTTGCTGGGTTTCCTTTGGCCCCGTGGCCCCCTTGTCCTCGGTGTTTGAACTGGTCCCGAGAGTGCTGGCCGCTAAATCTAAATGAAGTACGGTTTCCCGCCTGCCTTGGCTTTCCGAAGGTAGCCCCCGAAGTTTTGTGGAGTTCGGCCGCGTCTGGCCACGGGGGTCTGTCCGTTTTGCGAGCCGAGCGCGCGAACCCGTCCACGTGCTAAGTCACCGCAGTAATGGGCACCCGAGGAACTTGAGCTCAGTCTTTGATTTCAGTCTCGGCCGAACGTTGACTCGTGTTCCTGATGTGCCCGTTTCCGCCTCCTCCTCCTCCCCCTCCTCCTCCTCCTCCTCTTCCTTCGTTATCCTCCTCATCCTCCTCTTCCTGCTCTTCCTCCTCCTTCCCCTCCTCCTGGCTCAAGACCTGGACCCCCCGGGCGGCGCGCGCCGGGCGCGCGCTCGGGTGCCATGGGGGTCCGGAGCGGCCGGCCGCATTTCGCGATGTGCTACGCCGTTCGGTCGCCGGGCGGCAAGCGGCGCCAGCAGGGGCTGCGCGGCGAAGGACGAGCCAAACGCCACCATGCACAGCTCAGTCGCAGCTCGCCGTCGCAAGCTCCGATTATCCGTGGAGGTTGGGCGTCGCCCACATTCCTTTTACCTAACAGCGAAGACTGATAGGTTTCTGGTGGTTTCAAAAGAGAGCATCATGACTCCCCGAGGGGGTTTGGGCAGATGCCGGACGGGTGCGGGGGAAAACCGGGGATTTTTTAAAAAGCCAGCAGTGCCACACTTCGTGGTCTTCCAGTTCCCAGAATTCCATTCGTGGGCATGATTTTGAATGCCCGGAGCCAACACCTCGTGGTCTTCGAGTTCCCAGAGCTCCACTCCTGGGCATAATTTTGACTGCCCGGAGCCAACTGTAGGCCACTTCGTGGTCTTCGAGTTCCCAGAACTCCAGTCGTGGGCATGATTTTGAATGCCCGGAGCCAACAGTAGGCCACTTCGTGGTCTTCGAGTTCCCAGGACTCCAGTCGTGGGCATGATCTTGAATGCCCGGGGCCAACAGTACGCCACTTCGTGGTCTTCGAGTTCCCAGAACTCCGTTCCTGGGCATGATCTTGAATGCCCGGAGCCAACTGTAGGCCACTTCGTGTTCTTCGAGTTCCCAGAACTCCATTCCCGGATTACATTTTGAATGCTGATGCAGGCTGAGGCTGACGCCGATGCAGGCTGAGGCTGAGGCAGGCTGAGGCCGAGGCTGAAGGCAGACTGAGGCTGAGGCTGAAGCAGGCTGAGGCTGAGGCAGGCTGACGCTGAGGCTGAGGCAGGCTGAGGCTGAGGCCGCCGCTGATGCAGGCTGAGGCTGAGGCAGGCTGAGGCTGAGGCAGGCTGAGGCTGAGGCTGAGGCTGAGGCAGGCTGAGGCTGAGGCTGAGACAGGCTGATGCTGGGGCAGGCTGAGGCTGAGGTTGAGGCTGAGGCAGGCTGAGGCTGAGGCAGGCTGAGACTGAGGCTGAGGCTGAGGCAGACGCTGAGGCAGACGCTGAGGCAGGCTGATGCTGAGGCAGGCTCAGGCTGAGGCTGAGGCTGATGCAGGCTGAGGCTGAGGCCGAGGCCGAAGGCAGACTGAGGCTGATGCTGAGGCAGGCTGAGGCTGAGGCAGGCTGAGGCAGAGGCTGAGGCAGGCTGAGGCTGAGGCCGAGGCAGGCTGAGGCTGAGGCTGAGGCCGGCTGGGGCTGAGGCCGAGGCAGGCTGAGGCTGAGGCAGGCTTGAGGCTGAGGCAGGCAAAGGCTGAGGCTGATGCAGGCTGAGGCTGAGGCAGGCTGAGGGTGAGGCTGAGGCTGAGGCTGTGGCTGAGCAGGCTGAGGCAGACGCCGAGGCAGGCGGACGCTGAGGCAGGCTGAGGCTGAGGCCGAGGCTGATGCAGGCTGAGGCTGAGGCAGGCTGGGGCTGAGGCCGAGGCTGAAGGCATATTGAGGCTGAGGCTGAAGCAGGCTGAGGCTGAGGCTGAGGCTGAGGCAGGCTGAGGCTGAGGCTGAAGGCAGACATGAGGCTGAGGCAGGCTGAGGCTGAGGCTGAGGCTGATGCAGGCTGAGGCTGAGGCAGGCTGAGGCCGAGGCCGAGGCTGCAGGCAGACTGAGGCTGAGGCTGAAGCATGCTGAGGCTGAGGCAGACTGAGGCTGAGGCTGAGGCAGGCTGATGCTGAGACAGGCCGAGGCTGAGGCTGTGACTGCGACTGCCGTTGCCGCTGCGACTGCCATCGCGAATGCGAGTGCGACTGCGAGAACAGCAGAATTCTACAACTGGATTCTCATCTGAATCTTAAGGGGAATGCTTCCAGATATGCGAAAGAGCGTGTTCTACCGCTGCTGGCGGAAAACCGGGGGGGGGTCACTACCGGTTCGAACCCCCCCCCCCTCCGGAAAACCGGGGGGGGGGTCACTGCCGGTTCGAACCCCTCCCCCCCCCCCAGCTCATCATGAAAAGGGGGGGGGGTCACTACCGATTCGACCCCCCCCCCCCCCTCGAAAACCGAGCGGGGGTGCGGACAGTGGTGGGGGCGGCGTTGGTGGGGACAGTGGCGAGGGGACAGCGGGACAGTGGTGGGGGCACTGGGGGGACAGTGGGACAGTGGTGGGGACGGTAGTGGTGGGGACAGTGGTGGGGACAATGGTGGGAACAGGGGGGACAGTGGACAGTGGTGGGAACGGTGGTGGTGGGGACAGTGGTGTGGGGACAGTGGGAATGAGGTGGAAACACTGGGACAGTGGAGGGTACAATGGTGGTGGGGACACTGGTAAAGGCGGTGGCGAGGACGGCGGTGGGACAATGGGACAGAGGTACAGTGGGGACAGTGGTGGGGACAGTGGGGACAGTGGTGGAAACAGTGGGACAGCTCAGTGGGACAGCGGAGGAGTCAGTGGGACAGTGGGGACAGTGGGGATAGGCAGTGGTTGGGTCCGTGGAGACAGTGGGGAGAGTGGAACCGTGGTGGGAACAGTTGTGGGAACAGTGGGGACAGTGCGACAGTGGTGGGGGCACTGGTGGGGACAATAGGGACGGTGGTGGAACCAGTGGGGACAGCGGTGGTGAGGACAGTGGTGCTGGGAACAACAGTGGGGGATGTGATGCGAGCGGTGGTAGGGACCGGGAGTCGTTTGCTGGCGGTGCGTGGGGGGGGGGGGGTCGAACCGGTAGTGACCCCCGTCGGTTTTCCGGATCCGGAGGGGGGGGGGGGGGGGGGGAGGGGTTCGAACCGGTAGTGACCCCCCCCCCGGTTTTCGAGAGGAGGGGGGGAGGGGGGGGGGGGGAGGGGGGGGGGGGGGGAGGGGTTTTGCCGGGAGGAGGGGGGGGGGGGGGGAGGGGTGTCAGTGGAGCGTGCCTTCCACGGATCTTCAGCCTATCACCTCGAGAAATCCGCACAGTCTCTGGGAGCTGGTCCTCAGGGCTGTTCCAGTGGGCGGAGATGTCGAGCTCGAAGAGATTGATATGCAGCAGATACGATGAGAGAAACTCGCTTTCTATCTCGAGCGGTCCCCCTGAGCTTCGGACCGATGAATCAAAATCACCAAAAAGGGCCTCTTGGCCCGGCTATAAGCCGGACGGCTACGGACAGTAAAACAGGGCACGTGCGGGTGGTTGCACATGGGTTCGAGAGCTCCGTGGACCCGAACAGGACGGAAACGGGGTCTGGAGCTCTGGTCACAAAGAACCCTAGAAATCTATCTGAGATTCACATGCCCCGTACCATCTGTACGGCCGGCTGTTTAAATGTTAACGTTATTTCACGCTCAGGGGGGAGTGAGAAATAACTGCTGTACACACATAGAATATTCCCCTTAGGTGGTGTAGGCTACTGCACACAGGTAGCATCATGTCTCATCACGCTCACCGCTTCCGGGAGTCGGAAGTCCTGGGGAATATCTATCTCCTCCTCGATCTCCAAATCCTCTGGGTACAACTGCCAGGCATCATCGTCATCGACTGCAAAATATGTAGCCTGGTCTAGTGTCTGCAGTCCTCGTTGTTTCCTCTGCTTTTCGGAGATGAAGTTAGCATCGTATATCAGCTTCCATGTACCTCGCTGTAGCCACAGGTTGTAGCTGGCACGAGCCTTCTCCGAGTTCTTGGTCATACAATCGCTCAGCTGCGCACCGCTGTGACACCACCGCAGGGATGTCGACGTGGCGGCCATGCCGCGTTTGAGGGCCAGGGCCTCCAGCGCGCTCCTCTTGTTTTTCATGCCGAGGGCGCTGCTCTCTGACCGATCCAGGGCATCGAACACGCCGCGGCAGTCCAGGACCAGGGCACCAGGAATCTTCGCACAGCTCGAAGTCCACTGCTTCAGAGGCGCTGGTCCCAACAGGATCTCGCTCAGCAGCAGCCTGCAGAACTCCAGTTCCTCTTGAGCTTCACTGGCGGCCTGTACTTCGGCCGCACTCGAGCTCCGACACACCCTTGGCAACTTTGCAGATGCCCAGGCCAGCAGAGATATCGGCGCCTCTCGGTTCTGCATCAAGGTATAATCTGTCAGAAAAATTAAGAAACCACCTTGTGAAGAACCATCCCGTCGAACATTCCAGGCTGCGTCCGAATAGCCGACCACACACGGATTCGCATGTTTCTCCATGATGAGCTCCTTGGTCGCCTCGAACTTGGTGCGCCTGATGAGCTTGTTGGCCTGCAGGAGAGTATTCACTGTTGCGGAGTTACTGTATGCCAACAGCAGTGACAGTTCTGCCCCGATGAGGGGCGCGCCCTGCGTAGCCAACCACATGAGCTGACCAGAGGCAGCTCGCAGGCGGGTAGCTTCTGACGATGTCACCGGCTGCTCAGGATCGCGACGTCGATGTGCGGGAATATCTATCTCCATGAGCTCCTGGGCGTAGTCAATCATGGTCAGATGAATACGGCCCCACGACTTTGTGCGTCCATCATATTCTTGTCGGATACGCGTCCCACATTGAACAAAATCCTGGGTCTCCCACAGCTTCCCCACTCATAGGCTTGATGGAGCTGCTGCAGGGCGTCCACTGCAAAGTCCGAGTGCTGGTCAATCGCGATCATGAAGTCGTCCACGTGGGCTACGGCCAGACCTCTGAGCTGTCCGCCAGGTTCTCGTAAACACCACAGGCAAGGTTCGGTCGTAGACTCCACCCAGCCGAGCTTGGCCATATCCCTGCGAACTCTTGTCCACCATCTGCGAGGAGCGTTCACCAGACCGTAGACCGCCTTCTTGAGTTTGACACATTGGTGATGCTCGAGTCGCATGGCTTCCCTGAGTTCCTTGACGGGTTCGGCCAGGACATTTCGATCTTCTTCTCCGAGGTCGCCTTGTAGGAACGCTGCCTTGACGTCGCCCTTGAAGACCTGAAAGCCCATCGAGGCGGAGACGCCCAGGAAAGCTTGGCGAGCCCGACGACTGCATGTGGGGGAAGCGGTCTTGATCCGCCCAAGTCCCGGATCGGTAAAGCCAAGAACCACCAACCGAGCCTTGAGGTCGCCGGTCTCCTTCCTTGTAATGACCCATCTCATCTTCATCAGAGCACCTGGGTGTACTCCAGCACGACTGGCCGCCTCGCAAACTCGATACTTGAGGAACGACTTGATCTCGTTACCCTTCGCGATCGGGAGCTTCTCACGGTCCTCTGCCGTGAGGTTCTTGAGCTTCACCTCGACCTTGTTCTGTTTGACCATCGCAGCGAGGGCCTTGTCAGGCCTCCGGCTGAGTTGATCCACATCCGACTCCTCCAGCGCGAAACCGACCATGATCGCGAGGTTCGGCTCGTCCTCGCCCACGAAACCCACCAGGTCGGAAGCCTTCGTCTTCTGATCATACTCCCAGGGTGAGGTCCAACTCGCACTGCTCTCAGACTCGGGATCGGCACGACCGAGCTCGGGCATGACAAGTGTCGGTACTTTCTGGCACAGATGGCTCAAGTATCCTGCGAAGTCGGCTCGATGTCTCTTGGGTTCTGGATCTCCAGGAGGCTCTTGGCTGGCTTCTCGCTTGTTGTAACCTTCTGGTGGTGGTTCGCTCTCGTCGATCTGGTCGCTGGTCGGTGTCGGTGCTGGTTCAGCTGGATTCTGTGCGGGCATCGGAGGCGGTGTGGCCTCAGGTGTGGCCCCTTCGTGGTCACTCGAGCCCGACCCCGCTTCTCCTTCGTGATCGTCAGGTTGAGGAAATGCTGTACTTCTGGGAGTTGTCGTCCTGGGTGGGTCCGGTACTTCACCATTCTCTCCTTCTGGAATATCGTCCCATTCTCCCGGACCAGGCTGATCCACCACATCATCGTAAGCACCCTTCGTCAGCTCCTGCAGAATCTTCTTGAAGTGGTCGGAGCTCCCTGCGGAGATGCTCTCCAGGGTCTGCTCCGCTTTCGTAGTCGTGCGGAGGTGAGCGGCCGCTGCTCGTACAAGACGGTCACCGTCAACAAGCCAGACATCTCCTCGTCGCACCGCAACCTCATTCTTCATCTCGCGCTCCTGCATCAAGACCGTGGCGGGACCGTGAAATCGACCAGCTATACCTGGCCGAGTCTTGTGGCTGTTACCTTTCGCACCTCGCCAGTAGTGTGCCTTCTCACCAGGCTCCCATGTCTTGAACGGCCTCGTCTTGGCCAGCAGAGCGCGCTTCGTCTTCTCCGACAGGTAGTGGTCCACGCACGCCTTGTAAGCCGCCGCCTTGATGCGCGTGACCTCCTGGAAATGCTTGTCCACCACATTGGCGCTCAGGACTGAAGGATTCTCCACTTGCTCTAAGCCCTGCCCCGACGGGGTACGACCCATCATGAGCATCATCGGGCTGTAGCCTTGGTGTCGCATCAGGTCGTTGTTAGCCACGCAAGCCCAGCGAAAGATGTCCGCGGGCTCGGTGTCATCTGGTAGCTCCCAGGCGAGGCGAGTGGCGATCTCCTTGATCGTCTCGATGCATCTTTCGATCACTCCCATTCGCCAGTGAGCTTCTCCGGGTTCTGGTCTCCACTCCATGCCGTTACCCGAGACCCAGGCGCGCTGCTCGACCTGCTTGAAGCAACCTTCGGGATCTGTCCTGAAGACCTCCGGCTTGCCGTAGTGGTGGATCCAGTCCTTCAGCACTACCTCCTGCATCTCCTTCGCGGTGGTGTTGCCACAATGCTCCTCGACACCCTTCTGACAGTGAATCGATGTCTGGGTAAAACGGCTGCCATAATCTGCACAGAGAGTCCCACGAACTTGGTAGGCTCGTCGAGGATGTGTCCAATAGAAGTTGTCGCAACCCATTTCAGTACCAGGAGCGGGTAAAGTCGGTTCTGAGCTGGCAATAGGTCGCATCTGAAACCTTTGAGCTGCCTTGCAGGCTGGACACTCGTAGTGGCTGCAAAGATCAATGAGCTTCTGGTCCGCCTTGCGAGACCTGAGGGCGGCGCTGACCGTGCTCATACTGCAGTGTCCGAAATTCCGATGGATATGTGCGATGATGGCCTCCAGCTCTCGCAACTCTGTCTTGGTACAGCTCAAGACACTCTTTGGCAGTGGCAGTCTGAGATTGCCCACCGACTGCTCTTGACCTCCCGACTCGGGCGTCGGCAGGGGCGCCTCGCCTTCTGGAGGACCTTGAGCATCTCCAGGGTCGTCAGGATCAGGAGCTGGTACTGGTCCGCCTGCTCCTTCTCCTTGACCTTCAGGAGCTGTGGGCTCCAGCGTTGGACGCTTCGGCAGCGGCGGTGGTGGCCCCTCAGAGGCGGGCCGCTTCTCCCGCAATCGCCTGTAGCCCGCTGCACACAGTTCGTCGTCCAGCTCGTTGTGGGCCTGCACCAGATAGGCGAGGGCCTCGTCCGAGGTGGCCCTGGTCATGAAGTGCTGGGCGATCCTCCTGCACATGTTCACGGGATAATTCGCTGAAAGAGCCACTCTCGTGCCGCCCTCCAGCGGCATATGCAGATGCAGATCTGGACAAATCCTCCCAACCTTCTTCTCGAACTGCGGGTCTGTGGTCGCGATGTGCCAGTCCTTGCGTATGAGGAGACCGTTCTGCTCGTCTCTCATATCATACATGCATCCGTGAATCCTGCAGCCGTGCATGGACTCCTTGAGCTCCTTGAAGTTGCCTGTCCAAGATCTGCAGCGTCCTGACTGCTCAAGGTATATGTCACAGAAACCCTCGTTCAGCAGCTGACCGATAGCCCATTTGACGTTCCTCTGGATACGTCTGGTCTTGATCAGCTTCTTCTCTGACTCCGCCGTTACGGGGTTCAGATTCTGCCATGGGCATTCTGCTCCGCACGGTGGGGAAAACCAAACTCTTCGAGGCCTCTTGACCCGCAGTACTTTCACGAGCTTCTCTGCACCAGACCTGGTGGAAAAGTCATACCCGTTCCAGTTGCTGAATCTCTCGGCCTTGCCTCCTTGCTCGATCATCGCGTGCGTGAGCCTGGAGTCGGACACGCAGGCCACTTCTGCGAGGTCCAGCCTACCATAGGTCTCGGCTGCCTCCCAGGCGGTGCCCGGCATCTTTCCCAGAGCTGTCGTCGCCGCGATCAGCGCTCCAAGCACACAGCTCTTCACACGAGATGAAAGTCTCCGGCTGGCCTCGGCATTCCCGACGGGGTCGGCAGATCCTCTGGCCTCGGCATTCCTGACGGCTTCGGCAGATCCTCCGGTACGGGAATCGACTCTCCCTTGGGCATCTGGCCGACGCCCTGCCTCTTGCTCGGCCTGGTCCTGTCGTCCGCCTCCGGCTGGTCCGTCGGCGTGTCGATGAGGCCCTTCTGGAGAATCTCCTGCGCGAGGCGCTGCTGCTCCTCCAGGCGGATCTTGATCCTCTCGCTCTCGATGATCTGCTGCACCTCCGTGTCCGTGAGCTTCCGAATCACCTCGGCCGACAGGCGCTCGGGCAGCTTCTTGGGAGCCCCTGGAGGGGTCGGTGGAGGCCTTGACGTAGGCGCCGTTGTCGCCGTCATGGCCTCGCTGTCCGAGGAGCTCGACTGGTTTACCATGGGCGACGCGGGCTGGGCCGTACCCGTGGTCTCCAGGCGGTTGATGTACTGTCGGGAGCGCACACACTGGAAGAGCATCTGGTCGCTTGTCTTCGTGAAGTGGTGCTTGAACAGGACCTCCCCACAGTCCCTGCACATGATCAGGTCCACGAAATGGTTGGACCCCTGACGTGTCTGATCCCGATGGGCGCATCTCGGCATCGGCCTGGAACGCGCTCTCGATCTGAGACCTGGTTCGTTGAACTTCTTGAGCCAAAACGGTTCTCGAACACAAGGATCTTGGGTAGATAGTAAGACCGACCCATCTCGAATGTTCGACTTGCCGAGCTGTTTTATTCGGTAGGCTCTCGATGATCATCATAGGTTCCCCGTCCTCTCGAATCATATGAGTGCGTCGTTTCCCCGATAAGCTGGCTAAACCACGAGCTTCAAAATCTTCTAAGATCACACCTTTGAAAACGAACCCGATGATGAACCCGAACTAGAGCGTGTGAGCAGTCGACCCATATATCCCGACTCACTCTCGCACCTTCTTTCCAGTCAGCCCGTTCCCAGAGATGCCCAAGAATAGGTTGTAGCATAGACTGGCTTAGCTCGGGGTAGGGGCCCATGATGGAGACACTGGCCTCGAGCAACTTCTGGAGCATCTGGGGAAGCTCATTGGCGTCTTTGGGGCCCCTGGTGGCGACAGACTTGGATGACGACTTTTCCACAGTCTCATTGCCGCGACCAGGGTGCTGTCCCTATTCGCTGCCTGCGCTCGAGGCCTCGTTGCCCAGAGCAGTAAGATTCAGTGCCAAGTGCCCTGACGGGAGCACTCTCGTGGGGATCTCACGCTTGAACCGATGGGAGTACACGGTGTTGTGGAAGTAATCGATCACGAGCCCGTACTTCTTCAGCATATCGATTCCCAGTAGCACGGGAGACTGACGGTCCAGCACATAGATGCTCACCGCCTCGTCGTTCAGGACCTTCACATTGAAGGTCACCCGTGAGGGCGCGTCGGCCCGGTCGCCTCCAGCAAACGAAAATCCCAGACTCTTGTCCGGGCTGACCTCCATGGGCTCGCTCAGTCGCTCGTTCACGTACTCTAGCTGCTCCACGCCTCCAACAGACCTGGACGCTCCACCGTCCAGGAGCGCGTAGCCCTTGCAGTCGTCCATGCTGAAGGCCACGAACTCGTCCAGCCCTTCCTCGTCGCCGTCCTTGGACTCGCCCTCGTCATTGACCGTGCCGATGAACACGTCCTGGACGTCCTCGAACTCGACCTTCTTGCTGTAGCCGTCGGCCGCGCCAACGAAGCTGTTGAAAGCCCGGCGCCTCTCCCCTTGGGCGCCGCCGTTGCCCCGATTGGGGCAGTCCCTTGCCTTGTGGCCCGGCTCGCCGCAGAGCAGGCAAGCCCCCTTGAACTTGTCATTGGTCCCCGAGTTCGAGTCCTTCGGAAGTGCTGCTGGACGCTTCTGACTTTGACCACGACCCTTGCCGCGGCCTGCCACGCCGCCTCGATCCTTGCCCTTGCCCTTGCGAGGTGGCCCGCCCCGGCTCACTGCCCGTCCGCGCCCAGCTCCAGCGGCGGGTTGAGTCGGGAGCGCGTCGTAGGCACCCAGGCCTACCACTGGAAAGTAGCCCCTGGCGTTCTTGACCTCGTTGATCAGCTTCCTCGCCTCCACGAACGTCCTCGAAGCCGCGAAGGCCGTCTCCGTCCACTCGTTCGTCTCGTGAGTCGAGGCGGCAGCTGCCAGCGCATCCTCTCCTTGCTCCTCGTCTCCTATGGGCTCTTCACCGAGCGCGGCAGTCATCAGGTCTTCGGCTGCCGTCATCGCTGACTCCGTGATGTCCGCCGCCTCCTCGAACCCGTCGATGTACGCCTCGTCGTAGACCTCCTCGGCGTAGGCGGCAAGCTCGTCGGCGTCGTCGAAGACCGCGTGAGCGCCCTTTCTGGCCTTGTACCCCTTCTGCTTGTCCCGCGATGCCAGTTGCTCCTCCGACCACTGCTCAGCCAGTGCCTTCTTCACGTCCTGATAAAGGTACGAGTTGCCCTTGGGGCCGCTGGTCGCCAGCACCGCGGCCTGCTCTGACGGATCTAGGCCCGTCCCGTCCAGCAGGATCAGCCCTAGGATGAATTCGTGCATAAACCCTTGGGCTGGAATCTCATCACAGACTGCGTGGAGGGCCTTCCCAATCTTGCTCAGGTGGATGTCGAAACGAGAGACCCATCGCTTCGGACCTTCACCTGGATGCCGATACACTCCACGCATAAACTCTCTCCACTTGGACACAGCCTCCTGCATCGTGACCGTGCCTCGAACTCCCTTGAGTGCCTCCACCACCTTTTCAGCTCCGTCTTCCTTGACAAGGTCATCGAGCGACACCTTCTTCGCCTCGAACCACTGCTGCGAGTCCTCGTCCATCGCCTGAACCAGGCGCGGGCCAAGGTAGATTCTATCATCCTTCTTCGTGCCCAGGACCCACAGCTTTACTTTCTCCTCGAAACTCTCTAAAGTGGAGGCCTCACCATTCCACACAGGAATCTTGCTGCCGGACTGCTGCTCATTCGCCATCACGATTTGGAGATCGACCTCGAAGTGGGCTGCCACTTCGTCGCGCTACCAATGTCAGTGGAGCGTGCCTTCCACGGATCTTCAGCCTTTCACCTCGAGAAATCCTCACAGTCTCTGGGAGCTGGTCCTCAGGGCTGTTCCAGTAGGCGGAGATGTCGAGCTCGAAGAGCTTGATATGCAGCAGATACGATGAGAGAAACTCGCTTTCTATCTCGAGCGGTCCCCCTGAGCTTCGGACCGATGAATCAAAATCACCAAAAAGGGCCTCTTGGCCCGGCTATAAGCCGGACGGCTACGGACAGTAAAACAGAGCACGTGCGGGTGGTTGCACATGGGTTCGAGAGCTCCGTGGACCCGAACAGGACGGAAACGGGGTCTGGAGCTCTGGTCACAAAGAACCCTAGAAATCTATCTGAGATTCACAAGGGGGGAGGGGTTCCAGCAGGGGGGGGGGATTTTCGGAGGGGGGGGGGGGAACCCCGGGCTCCGGAGGAAAAGGTTGGCAATTTTCCAGAGTAAAGCGGCGGTGGATCACGCTCTCTCAGATATGCACATCGCTGTTAGGTTGCTTTGCCGAGATAATCTTTAGTTTTGCAAGCCTGGGCAGGGGGAAAACCCGCCCCCCCCCCTCCTCCCCGAAACCGGACCTCCGGGATCTGGGGCTTAGGGACCTTCTGGACGGGCCTCGATGCGGCCCCCAGGGCCTCGCAGGACGTGGCGCGCTCCCGAAACGACCCCAGAGGGCCCCAATACGGTCAGCGACGACCCCCAAGAAGCCGTCATGCCCCCAAAGATCGTCCCGAAACCTCCCAAATGGCTTCCAAGAGCACTCCCAAGAAGGCCCCAAGAGGCGAACATCATTGATTTTTGTTAGTTTATGGTTTTATGTTTGGGTTCTCTTTTCGGCTTCCCGACGCTCCAAGACGGCGGTCAGCTGGGCGTCCGAAGCTGCCTGGGAAGCTCCAAAATCGCTCCACAACCATCCCAAAAGGCCTTCCAGGCAGTTCAAGAGAGCCCCAAAACGGCACGACAGGGGTCCAAGATGGCCCTCAGGGGGCCCCATGTCGGCCCAAAATGGCCCCACAACGCCCCCCGAAACATTCCAAATCGTGACTCGGTCGTTCATGGAGACCGCGGTTGGAGGCAGGGTGGCCCGACAAACCCCCAGAACCTCTCAGAACACGCCCAGGAAACCTTCAGAAGGCCTTAAGAAAGCCGCCAGACCACGCCCATGAGGCCCCCAGAGGTTCTCCAAAGAGGAGCCTCCGCAAGAAGAGCTGAGGAGGATGGGGAGAATGCGCAAGGCATGGCGAAATAAGGGAAACACATGGAGGAAGGATAACGAATCACATTATTTTAGCAACGATGCCGGAAAAGGAGTTATCTCTGAATTGTCGGCTCGACCTTCCCGCTAGTCCGCCTGCGTACCAGACATCAAGGACCAGGGCGCATGGCGCGAAACGCCACCGCAGTCTTGTATAGTTGTATGTATATATGTCTATATGTATATGTATACGTATATGTATATGTATATATATATATATATATATATATACATACATATATACATATATATACACAAGACTGCAGTGGCGCTTCGCGCCATGCACCTTGGTCCTTGAAGTTTGGTATGCAGGCGGACTAGCGGGAAAGCCAAGCCGACAATTTAGCGATAACTCCTTTTCCGGCATCGCCGCTGTAATAATGTTATCCGCTATCCTTCCCCCATGCTGATTTTTCCTTATTTTCGCCATGCCTTGCGCACTCTCCCCATCCCCCTCAGCCCTTTTTGCGGAGGCTCCTCATTGGAGAGCCTCTGGGGGCCTCGCAGAAATTGTTTCAGGCTTTCATAAGGCCTTCTGGAGGCTTCCCCTGGGCGTGCTCTGGGGGCCTCTGGGAGCTTCCTCGGGCCACCCTGCCCCCAGCCGCGGTTTTCCTGAACGATCGGGTCACGATTTGGAATGCTCCGGAGGGCGTTTTGGGAACATTTTGGGCCGCCGTGGGGTTCCCTGAGGGCCATTTTGGACCGCTGTTGTGCTGTTTCGGGGCTTCGTTGGACTGCCTGGAAGGCCTTTTGGGATGGTTGTGGAGCGATTTTGGAGCTTCCCAGGCAGCTTCGGACGCCCAGCTGACCGCCGTCTTGGAGCGTCGGGAAACCGAAAAGAGGAAAACCCAACAATAAGCCAAAATCCAACAACATCGATGATTTGTCGCCTCTTGGGGCCTTCTTGGGAATGCTCTTGGAGGCCTCTTGGGGCGTTTCGGGGCGATCTCTGGGGGTATGACGGCTTCTTGGGGGTCGTCGTTGACCGCATTGGGGCTCTCTGGAGTGATTTCGGGAGCGCGCCGCGTCCTGCGAGGCCCGGGGGGCCGCTTCGAGGCCCGTCCGGAGGGCCCCTAAGCCCCAGATCCCAGGAGTCCGGTTTTGGGGGTCGCGGGGGGGGGGGAGGGGCGGTTTTCCCTCCCGCCCGGGCTTGTGAAAATAAAGAAAGAGAACTATGCCGGCAGAAATGGGATCGGGGCCGCCAGGCCGGTCCCTGCGCCCCCCATGGCCGACCCGGGGCTCCGGGGGCGCTCCTGTCCGGGCCAGGGGGCGGCCCAGACGTGCCCCGGGAGGCGCAAGTGGCCCCCGAACTTGTCCTCGACGGCCCCGGGGCGCTTAAATATCGCCCCTGGGCGCTCAGGACTGCTCCCGCTGAGCCTGGGAAGCCGCTACAACGCCCCAAGTTGCTTTCCAAGAGAGCCCCAAGCGGCCAAAATCATTGATTCTGCATTGGAAAACGTGCACTTTCAGCAGCACCTACGAATTTTCGGTCTTCACGGCGCGCACGAGGGCACGAGAGGCCCCAACGACGGCCCCAAGACGGCCCAAGAGGCTCCCAACGCGGCCCAAGAGGAGCCCAAGACAGCCCCAGAGGCGGCCAAGGCGTGCTCAAGAGGCGGCCACGACGTGTCCACGGAGCCTCAAGCCCCCAAGTCGGTCCAGGACGGCCCCAGGGCTCCAAAATCGCTTCTGGACACCCAAGATGGCCCCCATAGAGCCCAAGAGGCCGCTACGACGCCCCAAGAGGCTTCCCAAGGGGGCCCCAAGCGCCCAAAATCATTAATTTTGTGTAGGAAAGCGTGCGTTTTTAGCATGTACGTCTTTTTGGTCTTCACTGCGCGCGCGACGGACGGTACAAGAGGCCCCAAAGACGGCCCCAAGACGGCCCAAGAGGCTCCCGACACGGCCCAAGAGGAGCCCAAGACAGCCCCAGAGGCGTGGATTTATCTGCAGGCAGTGTATCAGGCGGCGTATCTTGGTAGAGATCTTCGTGGAGGAGTTCGACGGGCTCGGCGATGGCAAGTGCAGAGAGCAGTCAAGCATGCGGCCGTGCATCGCCTCCATGATATATAAGCTGCCGAGGCGGCTGGAGAAACAAAGAGCAGAAACAGCTAGCGCTTATGGGCACCGCTTGCCTGGAGCTTTCGGACAGAGCATGGCCCAAGTCAGGAGGAGGCTTGCAGTGCACCGGGCTCCGGGATGTCTAACAGATGCTTAACAACTTTGATCACCTGAAGGCCCCGTCTCGGGATGCAGCCCCCGAAACCCAAGAGGAGACTGACGCCCAAGATGCCCTCAAGACAGCCGACGAGGACTCCAACGCGCTCCAGGACGGACTCGAGAGGCTCCCCAAGAAGGCCCTGGGATGTAAGATCCACTCATTTTCCGAGTGTTTTGGATTTCGGCGCCCTCGCTTTTCCCGCTTTCCAACGCCCCCTCGCGGCCTCGGAGGCCCCTCGGATCGCTCCAGGGAGGCCGACGAAGCCCCGACGAGGGCCCCAAGACGGCCCAGGATGCTCCCCAGACAACCCAAGCGCGCTCCAAGAGCGCGCCAAGAGAAGACCCAGAAGGGGTCCCGAGGCGGCCGGGGCCCGCCCCGAAGCAGGCCATGACAGGCGAATGGAGGTCCCGAGAGGGCCCAAGACGGTCCCACGAGGCCCCCAGACGGCCGACGAGGACTCCAACGCGCCCCAGGACGGACTCAAGAGGCTCCCAAAGAGTGCCCTGGGAGGCAAGATTCATTCATTTTCCGATGGTTTTTGAAGGATGTGATGTTCTCGCTTCCCCCGCTTCCCAGCGCTCCCTCACGGCCTCGATCGGAGGCCCTTCGGATCGCTCCAAGAAGGCCCACGAGGCCCCGACGAGGGCCCCAAGACGGCCCAGGATGCTCCCCAGGCATCCCAACTGTGCCCCAAGAGCTCCCCAAGAGAGGGCCCAGAGGGGGACCGCCAACCGATATGTCGAGGTCTCTGGCCCAAGGCCGCCTGTAGGCCCCCGGAGGCCACCAAGAGGCTCCCACGAGGCCCCGCGAGGCGCCCAAGAGGTCCCCAGGAAACCCTAAGAGACCCCCAAGGGGTTCCCAGGGAACGCCCAAGAGGCCCCCCAACACACCCCAAGAAATCATGTCCCCAGAAAACTTTCCGGGCTCATGGTTCATCATGGGCCCGAGAGTTCCCGGAGGCCCCCAAGGGGGCTCCCAGGGAACGCCCAAGAGACCCCCCAACACACCCCAACAAACCATGTCCCCAGAAGGCCTTCCAGGGACATGGTTCATCATGGCCCCGCGAGTCTCCGGAGGCTTCGAATTACCATCATGCTACGAGAGAGCTGTCTGGGAAGTTGATTGGGAACATGACTGATCGCCTTCTCGCGGCCCTCCGCAGATTGTTTCGCACCAAGTTGCCCCAAGTGCTGTCTTGAACCGACGACGACGACGAAAGGGCGAATGCGACGACGACGACGACGACGACGACGACGACGGCACGCCCCAACAGGCTCCCCATGACGCCCCCCGAACACATGCTCCCAGAAGGCTTTCTTGGAACCCGATCCATACGGCCTCCGCCCCCCCACGCAACCATTTTTCTCGAAGGCCTCTCGGAATGCAGATTGGCATGCGTGGACTGTGGCCCACTACTTCGGTGGAGCAGTGAATTATTCGTCAAGGCCTGGGGCCTGCTAGAACCTGAGCGCGCGCGAAGCGCGTGCGATGGTTGTCGTATATATGTAGGTTTGTATGTATGTATGGGTGTGTATATATATATATATATATATATATGTATATACAAATGTGTGTATGTATATATACACACATACGTGTATATATATATATATATATATATATACATACATATATATAATATAATATATATACAACCACGTGCGATACTGTGGAAGCGAAACCAGAGCCCCAAGATGAAGGTCGAGCCCGACGCCATCACCTACAGCGTGGCGATCAGGGCATTTTGGGGGCGAAATCGCAGCCTGACGTCGCCGGGCAAGTTTCCCAGTCGAAATTTGGCGCACCCCGTATATCACACTGCGCGAGCGAGACGAGGGGGTCGAAGTCGGAACCCGCGTTGTACAATTACTGCCTTAGGAGCAGCGAGTGCGAGAATACAGGGCAGTGGTGGCTGGTTTTGCCACATTCCGTGGGGGCCCAAGATGACAGGGACGCTGAAGGGCGAGCCCAATGCCATCACCTACTACGTTGGGATCTGGGCATTTGGGAGGCGAAGTCGCAGCCCGACATTGCCTGCGCAGTTTTCCAGAGTGCGTTATTCGCACGCGAGAAGCGGGGGGCAAAGTTGGACCCTGAGATCTACAGCTACGGCCCAGTGGGCAAGCAGCGCGCGCGACAATGCAGCCCGAGAGGAAGGGCGCGCAGAAGGACGAGCCCAACTCCATCATCCACAGTTTGGGAATCTGGGCATTGGGGGGGCGAAGTCGCAGCCCGACGTCGCCTGCAAGGATTTCCAGAGGATGTTAGACGCATGCGAGAAGCGGGAGGCGAAGCTGGAGCCCAAAACTGCAGCTACAGCCTTGGGAGCAGCGCGTGCGAGAATGCAGGCCGCTGGCGGCCGTTGTCGCCACGCTCCGTGCGAGCTCAGAGAAAGGGCACGCAGAAGGGCGAGCCCAATGCCATTACCTACTGTTTTGGTGTCTGGGCATCTTTGAGGCGAAGTCGCAGACCGACGTCGCTAGCACAGATCCTCAGAGTCCGACTGAAGCCCATGCATCTCCATGCGTGCGGGCGGGCGCGCGCGCCTCGTCTGCGCGTGTGTCAGGCACCCCGCCCCAGGGGGAAGGTGCGCTCTCCCGCGACAGGGCCTTTTTCATCGCCCTTTTCAGCGTCGGTAGCGTTTCTGCCGTCTCCGCGGCTCTCTGGCGCAGCCTCGGCCGCAGTGGGTAAGATTGGTAGCTCAGCGCCACGAGGTTTCGGGTTAGGGTCGGGCGGGCCAACCCTTACTTAGCCTCCCCCATCAGCCAAGTGATGGTCCTCGATCCTCCTCCTCCCCCTCCTCGCCCTCCTCCTCCTCCTCCTCCTCCTCCTCTTCCTCCCGTCTGAAAGATCCGTAGCCATTTTGGCTCAAGACTGCTGCACAGGAGGGCTCCGCGCCCTTGTGCCAAACTGGATACCGCTGTTACCGCGGCTTGCCTTCAACTGTCGCCTGGTCAGCCCCGGGCAGAGTGCGCCGTGGTCCGCCCCACGGTGCACAGCTTTCACACCAGCGGCTAGGCTGCGCGCTGGCCGCCCGCCGCCGCCATGGGGAAACCGCAGCATGCAGCTCGCGGTTTCGTGGCTTGCCCTCATGACGGCTGCCGCTACAAGTGGAACTGGAAGAAGCATACGTCTTGCTGGCAGTGCGGAGGTGCCCTACGCCCCGTCGGAGGCCAGCCGCCCCCCCGCGACGCAGGCGCCTGGGCCCGGGGCCCGCCGGCGCTCGCCAACGCCAGTCCTTTCTCTTCGCATCCTCCCGGACAGTGGTCTACTCCAGCGCCGCCAGCTACCAGCATGTCGGCCATGGCCGCGACGGCTGATGGGGTGCACCCATTCGCCCCCACCACAGACCAGCTCTTGGAGGCCCTGCGTCGACGCGTCCCAGAGGCCAGCGCGCAGCTGGATGCAGTCGCGTTTGCGGCCCAGGGCCCCGCGCAGCCGCCCCAGCCCCCACCGAAGCCTCACCTCGAGCGTGAACGCGAGGCTCAGAGGCTGGCGGTGGCTACTCGCAAGGCCGATGAGGCCCTGGCCCGAGCCCTCGGCCACGAGCAGGAATGCGAACACTGGCTGGAGCGGGCTCGCCACGCCGTCCAGCAGTGCGCGCAGGAGGCGGCCGACGCTCGCCTCGCCCACGAGCAGCAGCTGGAGGAGGACCTCAAGCGCATCAAGCAGCAGGACGCAAGGCCCGCACAGGACCCAGCGGCCACAACCCCCTCCAAGCTCAACCTCTCGGCGGTCCTCGCGGCGGACGGGGGCAGCCTCGACCAACTCTTCGAATTGGAAGACGGTGACGCGTTCAACTATTCGGAGCTCGAGCTCTCGCCGGAGGACGTCGACAACTGGCAACAACACAAGGCCTCCCTGGCGAAGGAGGTCTAGCAGCTCATCGCACAGGCAGCGGGCCCCGCAGCAGCCCAGCTTGCAGCCAGGAAACAGGAGTTCATGGACTTCAAGGCCCGCATGTCGATCAAGAAGCGTCGAGTGGGAGAAGGCGCGGCTGCTGCCACAGGCCCCCAACGAGACGCCAACGGCACCGAAGCCAGCGCGTTGGGAGTGGCCCCATCGCCGCCGGAGCTTCACGGGCCAGCAGCTCCAGTGGCAAAGGCGGGCCCGTCAGGCCCGCCACCTGCCGCAGGCGCGCCAGCTTCCGCCTCGGCACCGTCTTCTGGGGCAGGTGGAAGTAAGGCCCCACCAGCGAAGGCCCCGCCGAAAGCGTCGCCAGAGAGCGTGGCAAAGCTCCTGGCTCAGGCACGTGATGGCGCCAAGGCGGCGGGGGCCGCCACTCCAGCACGCGGGTAGCAGCTCGGTTTTGCAACATCTTTCGGGGCCCGAGGTCACTTCGGCGACTGCGGCTAATAGAAAACACACGCGGCATGCACGGGCTGGTCGCGCAATGGCACCAGGCACTACTACGACTCGGCGAGTGCATTTCTTTTTCAACAATATTACCAAATGGGGCCCAACTTCCAAGGAGAAGCTAAAAGACGGCCTCACCTTCCAACCAATCGACGACAACGGCGACCTTAGCGACCCTATCACCCCAGATATCTTCGGATTGGTAGAAACACATTGGGAAGCCTCTGACGAGATAGTCGATTTTGCGGACAAGTTCGGCTGGCGCGCTGTGGTGTGCCCTCCTCGTCCTTTTCGCCATGTCAAAGCTGCAGGTGGAGCAATGTCGGGCCTGCGCCGTCACGTCCAGGGCCACTCTTTTCGACACCTGGCAGCGCGACCTGACCAGCAGACAGGAGCTGGTTTGTTGAAGGGCATCATCCCTGCAGGTGGGCCAATAGATTTCTGGGACTTCGCACCGCTCGTTCTCTCTTTACCTGGAGGTCGGGAGCTGCTGACAATCACCTTGTACCTTGCACCAGGCGAAAAGCTTGGTGACATAAACCAGACCAAACTTTTGAACGTGGGTGCTTTCCTCGAATTGGTTCCTCTCCCCTTCGTCATCACCGCGGATTGGAACATCCCGCCGGCAGATCTCAGGAATTCGAAGTGGCCCGAGTTGCTAGGGGGCACGGTCAGAGCCCCAACAAATACCACTTGGACCTGCGGCAGGCCCCCCTTTCAGATCCTGGACTACTGCCTGGTCTCCCACTCTGCAAGTGATTGGGTGGAGTCAGTGAAGGCTTATGAGGCAGGTGCAGACCACAAGGCCATAGTCGCCACCTTCGATATCGATGCCACTGATCCCCAGATCCGTGTACTTGACCGACCCCAACGACTCACCCACCCACCGCGACCGAAGCGACAGCCAGACCCTGATAGCAAGCGCTCACGGAAGCGCAGACAGCAAGCAGAGAGAGTTTCTTCATCCCGCAGAGAGGCTGCAACCCAGGAGCCACCGAAAGTTGAAGGAAAGCGAGCCCCTCCTATTGGCGTTGGGCTCCCGGAGCGAAGCCGGAAGAACTTGGCCACCACCATCCCCGACATGAGTTTGTCCCAAGCTTCAGCCAGCTCTTATCCACCACCTCGAACGGACCCCTTCGATTTCCACGAGGATTTCGACTTCGACCGGATGCTGGACCAGGAGGCCTTAGAGCAGGACATCCAGATCAACGCACACCAGGACGACGAGGCGCCGCCCGACCCCATGGACGTGCAGTTCCCCGAGCTGCTGCACCGCTCCTGGGGCGGCCTGCCGGTGCCCGAGCCCAGCGTCGAGGCGACCCGAGTCTGGACCATGGAGGAGCGCGAAGGGCTGCGGCAAAAGGTTCACTCTGAACCTCGATCTCACCCTCGGGCCCCACCCTGGATCAGGAGCTCCTGGGCTTTCCAGCTGACGGCCCGCGCGGCCGCCAGGCTCGGCGATGTTTTTTCGCAGTGGGTGTCGACTTTAGAATTGGTTTCGGTTCAATTTTTGGAAATTCCGCAGGACCAACGTTCTAGGTTTTTGGGCAGGGCCAAACTCGCCCCTCCCCGCACCACCCACCTTAGCCGTCGCGACCAACCGAGGAGATATGCTGACCCCATCGCTCAATGGTGGGGCGAGCTCCTCCAATTTGTCCAGGTCGCCGAACATGCTTTAAGAGAGGGGGGGGGGGGGGAAATTCGTTACGTTTCCTCCCTCCTCCCCTCCTCCTGCCACCTGTCTTTCGCCCCGGGGGGCTGAGGCCGTCTCGAAGTTGCAGCAGAGAGCCTCCAGTGTCCCTACAGGCCCCGCCCTTAACCTGTCTTGTGATTCCCTGAAGTCCTGGCAGGCTTGGCCTAGCAAGGCGGCCGAATTGACGCCGGAGGATCTTGGCATCCTGCTGGAGGCGACCAGGATCAACGCCGCCACCGCCCAGCAGGCGGCAGCCAGGACGTCGCTCGGCAAATTTCGCATGTGGGTTGAGGAGGCTTTTAGTGGCCGTGTAGGCCAGCTCCATAGATATACGAAACCTCCCCCGCGGGCCCTTCACGAAATCATTTTTCCAGGTGGCCCCACGAGCAGCCCGCTCGCCGCCATGGATTTGAAAAGGGAGCGCTGGGCTACAAAGTGGACCGCCCCTTCGCCCGACCGAGCCTGGACCAGGATCAAATGTGCTCTGGACCGCGCCCAGGCCCTGGCCAGGGACGAGCACTTGCCTCCTCTCACCCTGCCTCACCTCCAGACCTGCCTCGCCCTGGTCCCAGTCCAGACGGGCCGAGGCATCGATAACTTGGGTCCTCGAGACATCCAGGAGATTGGCCCCGAGGGCCAGCGGGCCCTGCTCGACCTGTTCCACCAGGCCGAGGCCAACGTGGCCTGGCCCTGGCAGTTTTTGCCTGCCCTGATGGGGCTCATCCCAAAAAATGCTGGCGGAGAGAGGGCCATTGCTTTGCTGGTCTGGCTCACCCGCCACTGGAGTCTGCTTCGGAATGAGATTCCCCGGGAGTGGTTGGATGGGCGGGCGGGGTTCTGGGACGAAGCTATCCGAGGCAGTAGTGCTTTGCGAGCAGCTGTCAGCCGCCACTTCATGGACGAATCGTGCGACGCCATGGGCGTCAGCCACCTTTCCTTTCTTTTCGATGTCGAGGAGTTCTACGATTCCCTCGACGTGGGGCTCTGTATAGACCGCTGCTTGGACCTCGACTACTCCCCCACAATCATCGGCCTGTCGGCGCTCACTTATTTAGGGCCCCGGCTACTCCGAGATAGGTCATCGGTGAGCTTCCCGATCGACCCGTCCCTTAGCATAGCAGCAGGCTGCCGCTCGGCGAAAAACGCGGCGGCTGCCTTTTTGTATCCCACCCTCGAGCGAATTCACAAGAATTACTTCCCCAGGGGAGTGGTCGCCAAATCTTGGGTCGACGATGTTAATTTTCGCATGGAGGGGGGTCGGAAAACGCTCGTGCCGACTCTGTCCGCTGCCGCCGTCCAGTTCGCCGCTGACCTCAAGGCCGACGGGCTCAGGCTCTCCTCGAAGTCGGCTGTGATTGCCTGTGATCGGAGCCTCGCGCTGGATCTTGTCACGGCCCTCCGTCACCAGGGCATCTCGGTCAAGAGCGAGGGTGCAGGCGCGGACTTAGGCATTGAGCGAGGCCACCTCCGCCTTTTTCGGAGTTTCAAACGCAGAGCTAGGTCGCGTTTGGGGAAGTTTCAAGCCATGAAGCTTCGTAAGCTGACGAGCTGGGCGGCTGGGTCGCGAGCTGCCCGTCGCGTGGCCTCCACGGGAATCTTGCCCAGAGTAGGCTACCGCGCTAAGGTCCTCCCGCTCGCCCCCAGACCGCTCGAGCTGCTCCGTCGCATGCTCGGTCACTTTGTCACGTCCAAGGCCAAGGGCCGACGCCTTACGACCGCGCTCCATCTAGATTACTGCGAGCGTGACCCGGGAGTAGCTCTCCCCACCAGCACTGTCCAGACGTGGCTTGAATTAATGGCCTCCTCCCCGCTTTTGAGGAAACGCGCCGCTCGAGTCTGGCCCAAAATCGCTGCCGGCTTGGCTGACGCCGAGCCGAGACGGCGCTGGCTAAAAGTTAATGGCATCATCAGTGGCACCATCCACGTTTTGCGCTCAGCTGGCTGGGGTCCGCAGGGGCCCTGGACCTGGAAGCACCCGTGTGGCGACCTCTACTCGATGGGTTCGGAGGGCGCCTGGGACCAAGACCCCGATTGGTCCACCATCCTGGGGCTCGTTCACGAAACCCTCCAGGTGGGCCTGTGGAAGGCCGCTGCTGCGCACCATAATGGACGAGGGCTGGAAGAAGGAGCCGACACCACGGCCCTCCTCAGCCACATGCGAGCTCTGGAACGGAAGGGAGCCTATAAGCTGCGAGGGGGTTTGGCCAACCTCTCGACTGCGGGCTTTTGGTCTTTATGCCGTCTTGAGCAAGCGGGTGTGAAAATCGAGTCCAATCTGTGTCGTCGTTGCCAGAGGTGCCCAGAGACCGATTTTCACACTGTCTGGGAATGCCTTGGCAACCCTCTTATTGAAGAGTGCCAAGGATCTAATCACCTCGCCGATCAGGCGAAGGCAGGCTATGTTGCGCATCCATGCTATTGGCTCCGTGGCTTAATCCCTGCCGCGTGGACTCGGCTCACGGAGCCGACGGACGATCTTCAATGCAACCTCGACCCTAGTATCACCCCTCCTGACCCGCCGCCCCCGACCACTTTTGAGCACCCCCGCCTGGGGCCACTCGTGAGCCGGGGCAGGATTTGGCTTGGAGGCGGCGCGTCGGGGGGGAAGTATAGCAAGCACCCGCGTCTGAGAAGGATTTCTTGGGCGGTTGTCTCCTGCAGTTTTGGCGTGGACCCCCACCTCTCAAAAGGTAAGCCCACCAATACGGGGGGCTTTGGAGGTTCCCTGCCTGGTCCGAGGCAGGGCATCAACCGCGGGGAACTCTTGGCCTTCCGGGAGGCCCTCGCTGCGACGCCTGCGAGAGACCTCGGTTATATTACGGACTCGCTGTACGTTGTCCGTGGATTTTTCAAGCTCGGACGAGGCAGGTGGTCCCCGAGATGCCACAAGGACCTGTGGAGGTCCGTCAAGAGCCCCCATCGACGGGCGGGACGTTCAGGTCGTCAAAGTCGCCAGCCACCTCACGGAAGACGAGCAGCTGGCGGCGAGTCGAGAGCTTCTGAACTTGTCGGCGGTCAACGAGGCCGCGGATCGGCTGGCCGATCGCTTCTCGGGCCCCGCGCAAGTACCCGACTCTGAGGCCCAGTCCCTTTTAGAGTTCGAGGAAGAGGCTAAGCAAATTCGACGACGGATCTTGGCCATCACGGCTTCGTTTCCCCCCTCGGTCCGCGCTGAAGGCCCCGCAGAGACGGGGCGAGGTAAGACACCGTTGCTCGACCTCTCTGCCGCGCGCGCCGAAACCTGTCACACCGCCCATCCGAGGCGGTGGAGGTGTCTCGAGTGCCAGTCTGAACCCGTTGCCAGAGGCAAGAGAGTTCTCATTCACTGGCTGAAACAGCCCTGCAGACCAGGCCCCTCTGCCCTCGGCCGTGCGGCGGGCCCCGAGAGGCGGGGCCTTAGGGCGCACCCGTCACACGTCTTGAGGTGGTTTGACGTGGGGGGGGGGGGGGGGGCTGGGCGGGAGCGTGTTCTGGCGCGTGAAGTGCGCGGGGGGCTCGGCACACACCATTTCAGGGAGGAGGGGAAACTCCTCCTCCAGCGCCGCCCTCCTACAAGGACAGGGCGGCTCTACCTCGGAAGGCTGACCCAGGGGCTGGCGGCGAGGGCGCCGCGAGGCGCGCCCCCCGCAGGCTCGGGTGCAGCCTAAGCTCGCATCGGCTGCCTGGCGCCTCGCTCTACGAAATACTCCCGTCTGAAAGACAGCTGCGGCAATATCTGTTCGGTTCAAGACAGACGCCGCCGCAGCTGGTGGCAGAAGGACGGTGCAGACATGCTTTGGCTCCTTCCTGGCCCTCATGTCAGTCGGCGCACGCATGCAATCGACGTCGGCCACCTTGCATTCGTTGCGCCCGACCAACGAGGTCAACACAAGACGCCGCTCATAATTGGGAGCTGCACGATCGCGGTATACATGCTAGACTCTAGTCTGCGCGGCGGCTTCCTTGGCAGCCTTATCAGCAAACAGGCTACCGTGTCGCTCGCGATGATTGATGGGACTTCGTTCGAGGTCTGCAGCAGTGGCGCGGGCCTCTAGCTTGTTCAAGTGAAAGCGGTCCAACCATCCCCGATGTCAGCCGGCAGCCCGCACGAAAATCCAAACGTCGGCCCGCGCTGCTCGGCTGGAGCAGCAGCGGGGTCGTCATAGACACATGCGCTGTCAGTCCAGGGGGAAAGATCACCGTGCAAGGTATTACCATCGATCAACATGTTTCGCGCAAGCGTCTTCGTCTCCGATGCAGCGCGTCGCGCTGGCGACTGTAAGCTGCGACGTACGGCCAAAGTCTGATCGTCGCTTGCGTCACCCCCCTGCATGCCAGAGCCACTTTTCGCAAAAACTCCAGCGGGAGGGCCAGGCGGAACAGGATGGGGGAGCAAACGGCGGCCCCAGCAGCTCCTCGGCGAGTAAGCGGGCGGGCGGACGAGAGGCGGCTTGCAGCATCGAATTTGCCATGCTGGGGGTCTCCGCCTGGAAAGCCTCGAGGCGATGCGGGCATGGCACGGCAGATGCTTGTGCAGCAGGGACCATGGGGCGCCACGACAAATATGACGCTCGATCTGGTCGGTGCGCTGTGCAACAACCCGAGTGCCCGCCTGAGAAAACCAACGCAGCGCACGCTTGCTCGTGAGCCTCAAGCTTGCGCATGCCGTCAAGCCCTGGTGCAAAGAATGGCCCCTGCTTAATTGACCGCGCCCCGCGCGCAAGGACACTCACCGCGACCGCGCGCTAGATCGCACGCGGAGTGGTATCTGGGCATTGTTGTACAGGCGAGAGATTGCCGACACATGGGTGGGATCATTCAAACTCGACAATCTGGATTCTTAGCCGGATGGCAGTCGCGACGCATTTGTTGAGGGGCCTTCGAAGAGGTCTACACGGTGCCAGGCTTCAAGGCACCCAGCCTCGACCATTCCCTGCGGGACCCAGGCCTCCCAGACTGCCGAGGCGAGGTGGAGGAAAGGACATATGCTACGGGCATGAGTTGGGTCAACTTGTTTGGCCCCATACAAGCTGTAACGTTAACGCGATACGGCGGCCAGGAAGCATACTGACTCGGAACCGAGGCTTGCAGAAGCCTGGCCTCGCGTATCTGGGTGTGAACGGTGCCTCGCGCATTTGGGTGCCCGTATGAGGTGGATGCTTACACGGCAGTTCTAATCATCTGATGCGTTTGTCTCTCTTCGCATCTTGGAACCGCAACTCAAACTATTGCCATACCGAGCGCGCGCCGCTTTCCTGCGCGGCTACGTGGTGGCACGCTTGATGATTTCCCCAGCCGAGTAGCCCACTCCCAAATTGCGTTCCGAGTGCACAGGCAACATGCGAAGAGAACGCGAGGCGCCAGTCAATTGGACGCCCATAGCAGAATTGGGAGACTGCTGAGTGGCTGGCCGGGAGACGGATGGCAGCTGACTCTTCGTGCAGTATTTTCATGGCCTCCTCATCCTTTTCATTTCTTCTTCCTCATATTCCTCCTCCTCCTCCGAGCCTGAAGGCTGCTCACACGGGGGAGGAGGAGGAGGAGGAGGAGGTGGTGGAGGAGGAGGAGGAGGAGGAGGAGGAGGACCTCACGCGTGCCGCGCCGCCTGGTTGACGGTGCGGGCCCGCGTCGAAGTCCCAGGGCAGGGGCCCATGGGAGGCTACGCGTGGCCTGGATCACGCAACCTGCGGTCCAGCCTCACGGGCACGATCTTCAGCCTCACGGGCAGCGGGAGTTGCCACAACGGACTTTTGGAACAGGATCGAGCAGGACTCCTGATCGGCCCTCATTTTCTGATGCTGCGGCGCTCCAGCGCCACACTCGCAGCACCCTCGACGGTGCCGATGTGCAGGCGTGCTTCGTGTTTCGTGACCTGCGTTCCAACAGGGATCCCCGCCGCAGCGTCTGCCGCCCGCTTTTGCTTCGGGTCGAAGGCGTGGCACGAATGCCGCAGCCACTCCAGCAACCCTTCTGTTGGCCGGCACCAAACAGCCGTCCCGCCACGCAAGGCCACAGGCGTGCGGCGATCGGCGGTATGCTCGCTCGACGCGTTGGATCGTCAGGCGGCCCTTGATGTGGAGGGCGGGCTTGCGGCGCTCCCTCTGCGCCCTATGGTCTGCATCCGCGCACGCCAGCATGGTAACGGCCAGCCAGTCGCGAATTGCGTTGGCTTGTCGGTCACAACTTCGGACTCGCTGCGCGGCGCCTGCGTCCAGCTGGTGCTTCGCCACCTCTTTGATTACCAGCGAGTCTGCGTCCAGGTTGACGCGGCACCAGGCCCTTGGGACTTGCGGTATGCAACATGCAGTCTTTTCGGCACAAATAGCTCGCGGCCTTGTGGATTACCACCTGGCCATCGCATCCGTCCAGCACGAAGTGGGGCCTTTGCCAAGGGTCCCTGTTGCGACGGTGGCGTCCGCCTCGGTACACCTTGTGGCAGCCCCTGACGACGTATGCGCTGTCGCACTCGTACTCGACGTCGCTTGTTAACGTGACGAGGCAATATATGAATGAGTGAAGGCTGTCAGCTTCGCGCGATTCACCGAATGCCTGGCGTTAACCAGCGTCCCCGAGCTACCGCCGAGCTACCGCGCTGCAGGAGACCCAGCCCCAGGCGCAGCGTCTCCGCCTCTGGCCGCCTGAATACTCTCTCCCCGACCGGGGAGAGGAGGAGGAAGAGCAGTAGGAGCTAGAGGGGCAGGACCAGGAGGAGAGGGAGGAGGAGGAGGAGGAGGAGGAGGAGGAGGAGGAGGAGGAGGAGGAGGAGGAGGGGTTGCGTTCGTGCTCCACCACGTGCTGTCGAAGTACGGCCAGGAGAGCACGGACTGCCGGGCCAGGGAGGCTGAGAGGTTGCAGAAGGGCAGGTTTCGAGAATCTTTCCTGGTCTCCCTCCCGTTTTACACTGCTAGGTGCACGCTTTGCTTGCAAGACGTGTCCCTCCGATCCTGAAATCGTGAGGAGGAGGACGAGGAGGTCGAGGAGGACGAGGAGGAGGAGGGGGACGCGGACGAGGAGGAGGAGGAGGAGGAGGAGGAGGCCGGAGGGAGAAGGAGAAGGAGGAGGAGGAGGAGGAGGAGGAGGAGGAGGAGGAATGGGAGGAGGGGCAGATGAGGCAGGACGATGCCGACGCCGCACATTCCCGCAGTACCTCATCATGGAGCGCTCGCCGGCGCTGGCCAGGCGACAACGGGAGCGCGGGCTGCGCGTCGTCGAAGGCCCCTTCGCGGCGCCGCCCCGCGCGCGCGCGCGGCAGGCGGCTCGTCGCCCGCCGCTCGCTGGCCAGTCGGCCAGGCGTGGCATCGCGCGCGCTGGCGGCCCGCTTCGGGGGGCCGCGGCGCCCGATCTATCCTCCAGAGTCGGCGGGTCTCAGAAATCCCCGCTGTAGAAATCATCGCTGTCCGATCTTGGCCTGGTCCAAGCTTCCCATGCATCCGGCGTCTTGCACTTCGCAATCCGGGTCTCCAGAAGTCCCGACACTTTACCAGGGCCAGCTTCCAATCCCGAGTCGTTTTCTGACGGCCCTGAAGCCCTGCGTGGGCCCCAGAGGCCGAAAACGACGAGCCAATGCCGTCTTGTTATTTTCTATTCGCTGGATCTTTGGGTTCGTCTCGCGTCTCCCTCAAGCTCAACCTTGGGGCGGCGCGGAGGCGAAGGCCCGGCCCTCTTTCGGGGTTGGCCTGCCGCGGTCTCGGGGGCCGGCCGGGCAGATCTGGGGGGCCGGCCAGGGGGGTGGGGCGAAGTGGGGCGGGGCCGTTGCCCGTTGGACAATGAGCTTGGCATCGCTCGGACGTGTGCGTTTTTTCTTGGCGAGGACCATCGAGGAGCACCTTGTTGGATCATCTTGTTGAATCATCTCGCGGAAAAATACGCACGAAGTCGAGACATGCACGGGGATTGGACGTCCCAGCGATGGTGAGGGAGGGTCGAGGAGGAGGAGGAGGAACAGGAGGAGGAGGAGGCCGAGGAAGAGTAGGACCACTGTAAACCCATGACCCACCAACGATGTGCCAATGAACCCTCCCTCCAAGCACCCTCTTTACAGGTCCCTACAAGGATTCTGTTTGACGGCGGGAAGTGCCCAATTGGAAGACAACCGTATGAAACTTCTCAACCATGCTAAAACATGATTCCTAGGATTCCAACGCCGCGAATCAACATGATTGTTGTGTCCTGGCGATCCTGAGTCGCGCCAGAACGCCATTTCTGGGACTTCAACACCGACAATCAACGTGACCGTCGCATCCTGACATTCCTAAATCGTACCAAAACATCGTTTCTGGGACGCCACCCCAAAGTATTAAGTGAAATTGTTGTAACTGTTCAGACGTCTGTGCGCAGCGCTAGGGCGGGAGCCAAATTTTGAAAAGGAACCGCTCTCCATATGTGGAATTCTTCCAAACCCCTCAGACGATGCGCGCGGCGCTAAAGCGAGCCTCCTCGATCGTCCTCCCAGATACCCCCAGGCGCTCCCAATCGTTCCCAAAGCGACCCCAGGCGCGCCAAAGAAGTCCCGAGCGCCCCCAGGCACTTCCGGATCATTCTGCCGAGCGCCTTCACGCGCTACTGGGCGTCCCCAAGCGTTCCCCAGCGGTCCCCAAGCGTTCCCCAAGCGGTGCCGGGCGGTCCACAGCGGTGCCAGGCGGTCCCAAGCGGCCCCAAGCGGTCGACCATCCTTCTCGATCATCCTTAAGTATCAGACTCCTCGACCCTCCCCTTCCTTATAGATTACCCCTCCCTGTCGCACCCCGAGACGGGTCTGTGGAGCGGGCCAAGGCGTTTGGCTTGAGACTTCCCCACCATTTACGATCCTGAAGCTCAACATTTGCAACAGTTTCACGCGCATGGTTGGCGGGTCGTTTTCAAAATCCGGCTCTCGCTTTAGCGCCACACACACACACACATCCGTTTGACGACGAGCGTGCAGGCGGGAGGCGGGGCACGCGGGCAGGCGGGAGGGGGGCTGGGTAAGACAGAAGACACCAGTCCTTCGGCCCATCCCGCCACCGCGCCTGGGTTGTAACTGGTCAGAGGCCTCTCGGGGCCCCCTTGGCCCGTTTTGGGGCGCGTGTGGCTCTGAACAAACAATGCGGGAAGCGCCAGGGAATCGCGGGAGGCACTCCAGGCATCCTGGCAAATCTGAAAGTTTTGGGTCCGGGCCGTTATTGATCAATGTTGGGGACAGACTCGAGGATTACAAGGGAACTGAGGGCGCTCCAACTCGTGCCTCGCGGCGTGCAAGGTTGAGCAATCAGGACCTGGAAGAGTCAGGGTAGGAGCCGACGGCGGCGGCGGCTTGGAAGACTCAGCCTAGACATCCAATGTTTTGCTGGGTCCTGGAAGGCCCGACCCTTTCCCCTTGGCTGCTTGTTCATTCGGATAACCTTTGGATGGTCCCAGTGCCAGGCGAGCCAGGCGAGGGCCCCAGGATGCCGAGAATTGCCAACAACCCTCCATCGTGATTTTCCGAGACGCGGGCATTTCAGTTTATGTTGTTTGTTCATTCCCTAAGGACGAGAGCCAGGGCTGTAGGCCTCCCAGATGGGGTCCGAGCAGATAAATGGGGTCGGGGGATCGCGCCGCATCGCCGATGCATCGATGATGCGGCTCGATGTGGAGACCGTGTCTCCTCACACCGACGTCGCCGATGCATCGGCGATACATCGGCGATGCATTGTCGATGCGGCGCGATCTTTCGACACCATCTACTCGGACCCCATCTAGGAGGCTTCCAGGGCGTGCAAAAGGGAGGGGCAACCGCCAGCGAGGACGGCGGCGGCGAGGCCCGCGCCAACGGCCGCCAGGCGACGCGCAGTCGAGCTCGAGCTGCGGACCAGTGCTGGCCGCGCTGGCCGACTCCACCGCCTGTTCGGGCGCGCTCGCGCGCGCGCACCTCTCGCCGCCGCTGCCGCCACCGCTGGCGGTAGCGTCGTCGTCGTCGTTGTCGAAATCGTCGTCGTCGTCTTCGAAGTTGCCGTTTTCGTCGTTGTCGTCGAAGTCGTCGTCGTCGTCATTGTTGTCTCCGTCGTCGTCGTCGTCGACTTTGTCGTCGTCAGCGTCAATGTTGTCGTCGTCGTCGCCGTGGCGGTGGTATAACTATTCACTGTACAGGGGAGAAGGGGAACGACAGGAGAAATCGGGCTCGATTGCGAGAACATTCGCGCGTAAATTTCTGTTGTGAAGTCTTTCGTATTCGCCCTCTTCTCGACGCGCTGTGCCACGATGGTTGCCCGCGCGAGCCGCCGCATAATGTCACTACGTCTTCTCGCGTGAGACCCGTTCACCTGGTCTTCGTTCGCGTGGCAGCTGGAGTCGTATTATAGTAGTGTGTGTAGTAGTGTGTGTAGCGGTAGTAGTAGTAGTAGTAGTAGTAGTAGTAGTAGTAGTAGTAGTAGTAGTAGTAGCAGCAGTAGCAGTAGTAGTAGTAGCAGTAGCAGTGGCAGTGGCAGTGGCAGTGGCAGTAGCAGTAGCAGTAGCAGTAGCAGTAGCAGCATCAGTAGCAGTAGTAGTAGTAGTAGTAGTAGTAGTAGTAGTCGTAGTAGTAGTAGTAGTAGTGGTAGTGTTAGCGGTAGTGGTAGTAGCAGCAGTAGCAGTAGCAGTAGCAGTAGCAGTAGCAGTCGCAGAAGTCATAGTCGTAGTCGTTGTCGTAGCCGTAGTCAAAGTAGTAGTAGTAGTAGTAGTAGTAGTAGAAGTAGTAGTAGTAGTAGTAGTAGTCGTAGTCGTAGTCGTAGTCGTAGTAGTCGTAGTAGTAGTAGTAGTAGTAGTAGTAGTAGTAGTAGTAGTAGTAGTAGAGTAGAAGTAGTAACAGTAGTAGTCGCAGTAGTAGTAGGAGCAGTAGTAGTAGTAGTAGTAGTAGTAGTAGTAGTAGTCGTAGTCGTAGTCGCAGTCGTGCTAGTAGTAGCAGTAGTAGTAGTAGTAGTAGTCGTCGTCGTAGTAGTAGTCGCAGTCGTAGCCGTAGTCGTAACAGTGGTATGAATTGTATAATAGAAGTCGTAGTCGTAACCGTAGCAGTAGTAGTAGTAGTAGTAGTAGTAGTCGTAGTAATAATAGTAGTAGTAGTAGTAGTAGTAGTAGTAGTAGGTAGTAGTAGAGTAGTAGTAGTAGCATCAGTAGTGGTAGAAGTATTTACAGTAGTAGTAGTAGTAGTAGTAGTAGTCGTAGTAGCAGTAGTAGAAAAAGTAGGAGCAATAGTAGTAGTAGTAGTAGCAAAAGTCGTAGTAGTAGTAGTAAAAGCCGATTTGTAGTAGTAGTAGTAGTAGTATTCGTAGTAGTAGTAGTAGTAGTAGTAGTAGTAGTAGTGGTTCTTAGTAGTAGTAGTCGTCGCCGCCGTCGTCGTCGTCGTAGTCGTAGCTGTAGTCGTGGTATTACTGGTAGCAGTAGCAGTAGCAGTAGTAGTAGTAGTAGTAGTAGTAGTAGTAGTAGTGGTAGTAGTAGTAGTAGTAGTTGTTGTAGTAGTAGTAGTAGTAGTAGTAGTTGTAGTAGTAGTAGTAGTCGTCGTAGTAGTAGTCGTAGTCGTAGTCGTAGTAGGAGTAGTAGGAGTAGTAGTAGCAGCAGTAGTAGCAACAGCAGTAGTAGTAGTAGTAGTCGTAGCAGTAGTAACCGTAGTAATAGTTGTAGCAGTCGTTGTAGTAGTAGTGGGCGCAGCAGTAGTATTAGTAGTGTTAGTAGTAGAAGTAGTAGTAGTGGTAGTAGTAGTAGTAGTAGTAGTAGTATCAGTGGTAGTAGTGGGTGTAGTAATGGTGGTGGTGGTGGTGGTGGTGGTGGAAGTAGTAGCAGTAGTAGTAGTAGTGCGAATATGTGCGTCGTCGCAGTAGTCGTCGTCGACGGCGTCGGCGTCTTCGTCACAGTCGTAGTATTACTAGAAGTATGTGTAGTAGTAGTCGTAGTCGTATTTGCAGGGGGACTAGCAGTAGCAGTATCAGTAGTTGTAGCGGCCTTGGTCGGGGACGTATCAGTAGTAGTAGTTGCAGTAGTAGTAATAGTCGTAGTCGTCGCAATAATAGTAGTCGCGGTCGTAGCCGTAGTCGTAGCCCTTGCAGGAGTAGTACATTTAATGATAATAGTAGTAGTAGTAGTAGTAGTAGTAGTAGCAGCAGTAGTAGCAGTCTCGGAAGTTGTAGTTTTAGTAGTCGCAGTAGTAGTAGCAGTAGCAGTAGCAGTAGTAGTCGTAGTAGTAGTAGTGGTAGAAGAAGAAGAAGTAGTAGTCATCGTCGCAGTCGCAGTCGTAGTTCTAGTCGCACGCGTAGTCTGCATCGTCGTCGTCATCTTGACGTAGTAGTAGTAGTATCAATTGTAGTATCAGTCGAAGTAGTAGTCGTCGTAGTAGTAGTGGCAGTAGTAGTAGTAGTAGTAGTAGTAGTAATCGTAGCAGTAGTAGTAGTAGTAGTAGTAGTAGTAGTGGCAGCAGTAGTAGTAGCAGTAGTAGTAGTAGTAGCAGTAGTAGTAGTACTCGTCGTCGTAGGCGTAGTCGTAGTCGTAGTTATAGTCGTAGTCGCAGTCGTAATCGTAAAAGTAGAAGAAGAAGTAGTAGTAGTAGTAGTAGGTAGTAATAGTAGTAGTAGTAGTCGTAGTAGCAGTAGTAGTAGTAGTAGTAGAAGAAGTAGCGGTAGTAGTAGTAGTAGTAGTAGTAGTACTACTACTACTACTAGTACTAGTACTAGTAGTAGCAGTAGTAGTAGTAGTAGTAGTCGTAGTAGTAGTAGTAGTAGTAGTAGTAGTTGTTGTAGGAGTAATAGTTGTTGCTGTAGCTGTATCTTCGTAACGTGTAACTCGTAACCAGTCACAAGTAGTTCGTCCTCCGCCAATAACGGCGAGGCGCTAGTAATTAGCCACCAGCAAATGGTAAGTAATAGCAAGTAGGTCGTACGCAGGGGTACGGGTACTAGTACCAGCGCTTGTAGCAGCAACAACAGTAGTCGTAGCCGTCGTCGTGGATGTAGTAGTACTAGTAGTAGTCGTCGTCGTCGTCACAGTCGCAGCCGTAGTCGTAGTCTTAGTCGTAGTCGTAGTCATAATATTATTGGGAGGAGGTGGAGGAGCAAAAGTGGTCGTAGTAGTTGCAGGCCGGGCGGTCTGCAACGTGGTGGGACATATTTTTGACGTTTCGCGTAACCCCACCAGTTCAGTGGCGCTGTGACCTCCGGCCTCCGCTCGTTGCACGACCTTTCCGACGCCTCGCGGGTGCCCGCTCGCGGTCGCGACCAAGAAAGTAACCCCACCAGTCGTTCTCCTGTTGTTTCTCTTCTCCTTTCTGCCGTGTGCTATTTAGACTCCTGCTGGTTAGCTGTAGCTTTGGACGGCCCGCGGCCCTTCCGCTTGCGCTCGCGATCAAAAATAACCCCACCAGCCCGTCCAGAAACGATGCCCAGGCGAGTTGCCCTGATCAGGCATCTGGGGGAGCAAGGCACGCAGTGGAATGAAGATTGGGATGGCGTCGTGCTCCAAGAAGGGGAGGGTGGAGGAGGAACCAGACGAGGAGGAGGAAGAGGAGGAGGATGAGTAGTAGGAGCGGGAGGGGGAGGGAGAAGGGAGGAGGACGGAGGAGGATCAGGCGAATGAGTCCGGGGAAAAGGATGAGGGCGAAGAGAAAGGCCACCTGCCTGTTGGATGCTTCTCGGAGTTGTTTCTGTGTCTCCAGCAGTTCTTGTCAACCTGTTGGGGCGTCTTGGAATGTTCTGGGCGTTCCCGGGGGCCTCTTGAAGCGTCTTGGGTGCCTCGGGGGAGCCTCTTGGGGGTCTGTTAGTGGGGCATCTTGGGAACCTCTTGGGGGCTCTTGGGGCCCCGTTGAGGCACTCTTGGGAGCCTTGGGGGGCATCTGGGGGCCATCTTGGAGGTAATCGATCAAAGAAGGGGGGGGGTCAGCGCTCCCCCCCCGAGGCCCAAAGTGGCCCAAAACTTGTTGTACAATGTTGGACCTTCTCGCCGAGGCCACCTCAGACGCTCTTACCACCCGCCGCCCTCGAGAGATGATAGGTAAACCCTTCCCCGAAGGGGAACAAGGAGGGTTGGAAGAGGGAGCGCCCTAAACTTCTCATGCCCTAAAGGGCTGATTGGATTGAGAGGGGGTGAAGGAAGGCGCGCCTTTCAAGCACCTTTTGGACGCGGGGTGGCAGTTCAGGGGCTCTGCAGGGGTTCTTTCGGGCCGCTTTCCTGCAACCCTCGCCCCCTCCCCACCCCATATTGATATCCCACTGAACGGCCTCCCGATCAGGGCCGTCTTTTGCATGTTGGGAGCGTTTTTTTTTGTGGGTCCCTGCAGCCGTCTCCAGGAGGCCATCTTGACTCTTGACGCAACCTGAGGGCGAAGTTGGAGGTAGGCAAGTGTGTGCTGTTGTGGTGTTGCGTTCGGTCTCGTGGGGTCTGTCTGGAGGGTTCCTTGGGCGGGTCGTCCCACGAACCGCTGGGGGCACCAAAAACTTCGTGGGGAGCTTAACGAGTCTTGTCGCGAATCCTGGGGACACCTTGGATCCTCCAGGGCGCTTCCGTCAAGGGAGGAACAAATACCCCGGCCCATTATGACCTGCGTTTGCTAAACGACCCTGGGCGTTTATTGAACAGCTTTGCCGTGTTTGATTCCTTCCTAGAGTGCGTTTACGAAACGGCTTCGCTTACTATGAGGATACGTTTGTTATGCTCTCTGTTCTGGCCCCAGGAGGAAAGTTGGAGTCAGAGGCACCGTAACTGGTACTCACTAAGGTTTTTTTTTCGGGGGGGGGGAATTGCCCAAAGTTGCAATTTTAGGGTTTCTCTGTCATCGGGGAGGACTGGGTTCGCCAAGTCACGGGCCAAAGCGCCCTTCAGTGGAGTCCCCGTTAAAGGGGCGCTGATGGAGGAGGGCAACGACGACGAGCAGAGGGTGACGGAGACCCAGACTTCCGACGCGGTGTACCTCCAGCGCTGGCGCTTTCGGTCCATCTGCTCGAGGCCGAAAGTTGCCGAGCACCCTCCGTGGTGTTGTTTCTTGTCGCGCCGCGGGGCCTTGATCCTGGAGGGACCGCGAGGCGGCTTCCCGCCCCGCCCTGCGAGCAGCTGCAGCGGGCAGGCGAGTCTGTGGCAGCTCCCGACTTCGCCGCAATGTGGCGCGGCATGCTGCGCAGCCGCCTGCGCGTGGGTTTGCCCAGGCCTCGAGGGCAGCCCTTGAGGAGGCCGCTGCAGGGCCAAGGCTCGTGGCCTTTGGCGGGGGCGCAGCGGGGCCCGAGGGCGCGCAGAAGCTGGAGCAGGCGGTCCCGCAGGTGCTGCAGTCGGTGCTACACGAGGAGCAGCTCCAGGCAGAGCCCGAGGGCGACCTGGGCGAGGGCTTGCTGGCGCCAGGCTGCTGGCAGAAGTGCGACCCTGAGCTGGAGGCGCGGGCCTTCGGAGAGGGCGTCGCTTGCGGCTGGCGGCTGGCGAGGCGGCGCGCGGAGGCCTCGATGGGCCCCCCCGCAGCCGAGGCCAGCGGCGGCTCCGAGAGCACTGTGGAGTGCGACGTGGAGTCGGAGAAGGAGGTTCCCACCTGCTCGTCTGTTTGTTCGCGCGGCATCAGCGACAAGATGTTGAGAGCAAGGTCGGGGATTTCTCGCACGTGGTTGGAGCCGCCCCCGCGGGGGGCTCGGCGCCAGGCGTGCGACGATGCGGCCGATGACGCGCACAGCAGAGTGATTGCGGCCGAGTCCGAGGCGGAGCTGTTCTTCCTCGACTGGTTCGGGCAAGACTCTGAGTGCGGCATCGATAGGGTGAAGCTCATCCAGGAGTTCGTGGACGAGGGCTTTGACATCGGCTTGATGCTCGACTTCCTCGGCCCCCCTTGGTTTCTGGGGCGCTTCACTGAGATCGACGGCGTCATCCACTGCATCGAGGACTGGGACGCCGAGAGCGCAGGCGGCGGTGACGCCTGGGAGGACCTCTCGGCGGTGGCGCAGCGGCAGCAGGTCATCGACGGCGATGGCAAGGAGCTACCGCATGCGGCCGAGGACGCGCGCAGCATGGAGCTTGCGGCAGAGTCCGAGGCGGAGCTGGACGACCGTGCGGGCCTCTCGGCGGAGGACCAGATCACGGCGCAGTTCCGAGACGCGTCGGCAGGCCTCTTGGCGGACCTTGAGGCGCAGCTGGCGCGCGTGCGGGCGAGTAGGTAGGCGGCCTGCCGCCCCCTCTTTCGAATTCATGCATGAAACCTCCGCGGGACTCGTCGCGCGGAGCCCACAGAGATAAAAAGGTTCGTTCTTGAACGGATTCGTGGGCAGGGTCGCCGTGAAGGAGCCCCGAATGAGAGAAGAGAAGAACAGCATAAGCATGCATTGCTGGATCCCCGACAGTTTTTCCCCAAAGAGACCCTTGCAATGAGGATTTGTTTGTGTAGTGTTGTTCAATGATTGGTTGGGTATTCCAGGCTTTCGCCACGTTGCCTCTGTGCGCTAGGTGTGTTTCCAAAGGATTCCCCGCCATGCCACCTCGTGGGCGCCTCGTGAGCGCCACGTGCGCAGGGTGGGTTTCTACACCAACTTGCGCGCGCCGTTGACGACGTCGACGACGACGACGGCGGCGGTGGCGTCGGCGGCGTCGACGGCGACGTCTTACAAGGCCCCCACCTTGTCGCGCGCCGCCAGTCCGAGGCGGCGGGCCCCGGGAGCCCAGCGCTCGATCCGGTTCTGTCCTCCCCGGGGCCAGCCCAGGCGTCTGCTCGGCAGGCTGCGGTTCGAGCGACACTTGGCTGTGGCTCGGCCAGGGGGGAACCGTCGAGGACGAGGAGCCGTCAGGGAGAGGAGCCGTCGAGGAGGGACCGTCAAGGAATGGCCGTCGTGGAGGGGCCGTCGAGGAGGGGCCGTCGCGGAGGGGCCGTCGAGGAGGTGCCGTCGAGGTGGAGCCGTCGAGGAGGGGCCGTGGAGCCGTTGAGGAGGGCGGTCGAGGAGGAGCCGCCCCCCGCAAGGCCCGGCGGCGCAGGGCGCCCCTGAGTGCGTCGCAGGCGACAGGGGCACGCCGGAGGCCGCTAACGCCCCTTCTCCTCCTCCTCCTCCTCCTCCCCCTCCTCCTCCTCCTCCTCCTCCTCCTCCTCCTCCTCCTCCTCCTCCTCCTCCCCCCTCCTCCTCCTCCTCCTCCTCCTCCTCCTCCTCCTCCTCCTCCTCCTCCTCCTCCTTATCCTCCCGTCGCCGCATTTTCTATCGCGCGGCGGTGACGGCTGTCGGTATCCCGCTGATGCTCTCGAGGATGACCTACCAGGAGGGAACCTGCCTCCTCCTCCCTTTCCTCCTCCTCGTCATCCTCCTCCTCATCCGCCTCCTCCTCCAGTTTCCCCAGCTCCTTAAAGCGCCAGCTAGGCTGCGGTTGCGGGCCGCTTGCAAGCTAGCGCCACAGGCGCCCATCGCGGGCGCTGCCTCCCCCTCCCCCCACCTTCTCCGCGCCGCGCGACGCTCCCCCCCTGCCGCGGGCGATGGAACGGGTTCCCGTGCGGCGGCCACGCTGGCCGAATCGGTCCGCCGCCGAGCGCCGCGCCCAGTACAGTACCGCCGCGCTGACGGGCGGGCAGCTGGGCGGCTGTTGAAGGCGTTCGCCGACATCGAGCGCCACCACGGCCAAGGCATCAGCGGCCTGGCCCTGACACTGCGCAAGGCCCTTGCGGGAGCGGACGAAGCTGACGACGCTGCAGACACAGCGTCAAACGTGGACGAGAACAAGGAGGAGGTGGCCGCCGAAGGCTCGCGGCAGCCGTGACGCAGCTCGGCACCGACCAGAAGCTGCAGAAGGCCATCTTTCTGACGATGCTCTTGCTGACGCCCTTGACGATCGCCACGACGATCCGCATCCTGCAGCAGTTCGTCGTGACACTGTTCGGCGCGGCGTTCCTATGTCCTCGGGTCGCGGCGTGTCGAGCCGCCAGGACCGCGCTCACTAGGCAGGCTGAAGGTGTCATAGTACATGCGGCCACCCTGCATGCAGGTCACGCCCGCAGGGACATAGTTCATCCAGCGGCAGTGTGGAAACGATCTAAGCGCCTTTACCTTTTTACCTCCCTCTCCCTCCCGTTCCTCCCCTCCTTTCCCTCCCCATCATTCCCCTCCCCTTCGGCGGTTCTCCTCGCCTCCCCTCCTTCCCTCCTCTCCCCCCGGTACCCCTGCCATGCCAAGGAGTCAAGCGAAGAGAGAAAGAGGCTACGCGTTTCGCCCCCTACAGGCAAATCGCACAGTCTGGATGAGCAACGTTTCAATGTTGCCCTTGTGCCCTTGCCCCTGTTGGTAAAGCTCGTCGACCAAGCCCGTTCGAAAAAACTTGGTCATTGCCTACAAGGGCCTTTGCATCCTTACCGCGCCTCTTTATCATGTTTCCTGATTGTAAAGGTCTTTCGGGGCCATAATGCCTACGGTGCATCGAACGTCGACCGATTCGACGCACGTCCAGAATCGATTCGAACTTCCCGTTTCGATGGTGATTCACCTTGCAGTCGGAGGACGACGATCTCGAATATGAGCAACGGCATAAACATATTCGTTCGACGTTTCGCGCGGACCGTCCAACGTGTGCAAATAGGTGACGCCGTGTTTGATTCCTCCCTGATCGCGCGCCGCGTTCGCTTTCTCACCATGTAAAGGATCGAGTTTCGAGGATCTGAAGGGGTTGGACACGCTTTATAATCGAAGAAGCCTGCGGCGAATCACCGCCGCCCCCTGCCTTTTTGGAAGCGCCTGTGTGGCCGAAAGTTGGGTTTGAGCTTGGCCGAGCTATCGGGCCACGCGTTCCCCGAGCGGGTTTCGAAAGCTTTCGGAGAACACGGAGTCGGGCAAGCTATCGGACCAGGTGGATTCCGAGCTTCCGGGTTTCCTGAAGGAGGTTTGGGAGGGCTCTTGGGCCGTCTTGGAGGCCTCTGGCGGTCCTTTTGGGCAGTCTAAGGCTATCTTCAGGCCATTTGGGGCCGTCTTGGGTGCATCTTGGGGCCATTTTCGCCATCTTGGAGGCTTTCTTGGCCGTCTAGGAGGCATCTTGGAGGCCATCGTGTCCGTCTTGGATGCCATCTTGGGCGTCTTGTGGGCCTTTTGGGCTGTCTTAGGGTCTTGTTGGGGCCCTCTTGGGGGTTTCTTGGGTTGTCGTGGGGCCATCTTGGAGGCCTCTTCTGCGCTCTTGGGGCGATGTTGGAGGCCTCTTGGCTTCTCTTCGGCCATCGGAGAGCTGAAAAGACGAACATGCCAAGTATCCCAGTGCGACCCTAACTAGGAGTTGGAGCATCTAGGAAAGCAACATCTACATCTGCACTGACAGCTACATTAACATCTACACCTGCATCTACATCTACATCAACATCAACAGCGAGACTCACACCTACATCTACATCTACACCTACATCTACACCTACACCTACATCTGCATCTACACCTACATCCACATCAACACCTACATCTACATCTACATCTACAATTTCGCATTGGTTATGCTTTTGCTTTGCATTGGCTTGCCTTTGTTTTTGCTGTTGTTGTTGTTTTTGCTTTGCGTTTGTTGTTGCTATGCTATGCTATGCTATGATGCGCTGTGCTATGCTAAGCTATGCTATGGTATGCTGCGCTATGCTATGATATGCTATGCTATGCTGCGCTATGCTATGCGATACTATGAAATGAAATGATATGATATGATATGATATGTTAATGCTGCACTAAGCTAAGCTGAGCTAAGGTAAGCTCAGCTAAGCTAGGCTAGGCCAAGCTAAGCCAAGCTAAGCTAAGCTAAGCTAAGCTAAGCAAGTTAAGCTGGGCTAAGCTAAGATGAGATAAGCAACGCTACGCTAAGGGGACGTAACTGGGGGAACCGCAGGGCGGATGCCGGGGAAACCGCCCGGGGCGATTTGCACTGCCCGGCCCCTTTAAGCTAAGAGGGTAAGAACCCTTAGAGGCAGAGCCTAGGTAGGGACAATTCTTCAAAAACCTAAGGACTATCAATGAAAGACGTCCTTTCGGGTCTTCCTGGTGGCGCTCTTGGAGGGCGCTTGGGGCTCTTTTGGGCAGTCTTAGGGCAATTGTGGAGCCATCTTGGACCGTCTTGGAGGCTTCTTGGGCGAACTTGACGACATCTTGGACTCTCTTCGGCCGTCTTGGGGACATTTCGGACCATTTTGGGCGGATTTGAAGGCCATTTTAGAGGCCATCTTGGGCCAACGTGACCATCTTGGGGGCCATCTTGAGCCGTCTTGGAGGATGTGTTGGGGACGTTGAGGTCGTTTCTGGGCCTTTCGGGTGGCCGGCGGGACGGGCCGAACCTCCAAGGGGAGTTATTTGGGGAAAAGAACCAAAACCAAAAGCGAAAGGATTCAGCACGCCTGGCACCCCAGTGATGAATCAACAGGGGGCGGCGGACACATAGGTTATATGGCTCAACTGGATCGAACAAGTACCACTTGAGGCAAGTCGAATGAATGCCTGGAGTGCCTGGATTGTGGTTATGGAGCCTATGGAATGTGTGTTGGGACCTCGTGGGATGCCTCTCAGGGGCCGTCTTGGAGGCAGCTTGGAGGCTTCTTGGGTGGCGTTTTGGAGCCTCTTGGGTCTCTTTCGGGTCTCTTGGGGGCCTCTTTGGGGTTTATTGTGGCCTCCTGGGCGCCTCTTGGGGCCTCCTGGGGGCCTCTTGAGGCGGAAGGCTCGGGTTCTCGGTTCGTGTTTTCTCTCTTGGGCCTCTTCTGTGGCCGTCTTGACGCTCTTGGGCCGTCTTCGGCGCCTCTTGGGCCGTCTCGGGGGGTGCTCTTGTTCTGTTTGGGAGCCCTCTTGGAGGCCCTTGGTCCGTCTTGGGGCGGTCTCGGAATCCTGGAGGGTAGTTTGGAAGCGTCGGGAAGCTGAGAAGTCGAGATCGCCAACACTTTTGGAAAATCTTAGGGACATCAATCCTTCGATGCCTCTTGGGCTGTCTTGGCGCCATCTTGGGGCGTTCCTGGCCTGTCCGAAAAGGTATTTTTGGGGCCTCTCTGGGATAACTTGGAGCCTCTTGGGGCCCATCCTGGCCGTCTTGGACTTGGGTGTCTTGGAGGTGTCTTGGGTTGTTGTTGGGTTTTTCTTGGGTTATCTTGGGGGTCCCTTGGATCGTCCTGAGGCCATCTTGGAGGCTTTTTGGGCACTCTTGGGGCGATCTTGATGAGCTCTTGGGCCGTCTTGGCGCCGTCTTGGAGACCTCTTTTGGGTCACCATGGGGCAGTATTGGAGGCTTCTTGGGCGCTCTCGGGGCAGTCTGGATGGCCTCTTGGGCGGTCTTGGGCTGTCAAACACGAGCAACCTCCAAATTCTTCAAACACTTACAGCAAAACAATGATGTAAGCCTCCTGGGGCTCACTTTGGGGGCATCTTGGAGGTCTCTTGGACCGTTTTGGGCAGTGTCGGGTACATGTTGGGCCGTCTTGGAAACATCAAGGGACCTTATTGGGCTCTCTTGGGGCCATTCTGGCCGTCTTGGAGGCCATCTTGGGCGTCCCCGAGGCCTCTTGGGCCGTCTTTGGACCCTCTTTGGGCCATCTTTGGGGCATCTTGGGGCGTCTTGGAGCACTCTTGGAGGCTTCTTGGGTGCTCTTGGGGCGATCTTGCTGGCCTCTTGGGCCGTCTTGAACCGTCGGAAGACCGAAAAGGAGCAAACCCCCACATCCTTCACACACTCACGGAGCATCAAGGAAAATCAAGTATGTTCGCTTCTTGGGGCTCGTTTTGTGGGCTCGTCGGGCTCTCTTGAGACGTTTTGGCGGCCTCTTGGGGCGCGTTGGGAGGTCTTGGGCCATCTTGAGGCCATCTTGGGCAGTCTTGGGTGCATCTTGGGCTGTCTTAGAGACATATGGGGGCCTTGGGCCTTCTTGGGGCCATATTCGCCGTCTTGGAGGCCATCTTGGGCGTCTTGGAGGCCTCTTGGGCCGTCTTTGGACTCTCTTTGGGCCATCTTGGGGGTCTCTATCTTGGAGGCTTCTTGGGCACTCTTGGGGCGATCTTGATGAGCTCTTGGGCCGTCTTGGGCCGTCGGAAGGCCGAATAGGAGCAAAAGCCACAATCCTTCAACAATCTAAGGAACACACATTTATTTTGACCTCTTTGGGACGTCCTGGGGGAACTATTCGAGGCCTCTTGGGCCGTCTTGGAGTCCTCTTGGAGGCATCCTGCGCCGTCTTGGGTCGTCTTAGGTGTTTCTTGTGCGAACTTGGAGGCATCTTGGACTCTCTTGGGTCGTCTTCGAGGCCATCTTGGACCATCTTGGACGCCATCTTGGGCCATCTTGACCATCTTGGAGCCGTCTGGAGCCGAACAACCCTTTGCAACCACCTGTTACGCATCTCTGGCGGGACGGGCCGAACCCCCAGGGGGAGTTCTTTTGGACAAGAACCAAAACCAACAGCGAAAGGGTCTAGCACGCCAGGCACCCCTGTGGTGAAGCAACAGGGGGCGGCGGAGCTAGAGGCCTTCGGCCCATCCCGCCACCGTGCCTATGTTGCAGGTCGGAGGCCTCTTGGATGTCTGTGGGGATCTATTGGGAGACCTCTGGAACTGGTGTTGGAGGTGTCTTGAAGCCTCTTGGGTGTTTTTATGAGCCTCTTGGGGCCTGATTTGCGCCTCTTCTCTTGGGGGGCATCCTGGGTCTCTGGGGGGCTTCTCGGACGCCTGCTGGCGATTTCCGGTGTCATTTCGGAATGTCCAGCGCATGATCCGCAACTCGTTTTGGACTCCAGTTTCGCCTACCACATCCGCCAGAGTTCGTCGGCTTCACACGCGCTCATACGCACTTCTGGCCAACACGCACCACTGGTGAGGTCCAGGGGGGTGATTTTGAAGGGCGTTTCTCTTGTGACCCGTTTTCGTCATGCCGATCGAGGGTCGACAATCGAGGATCGCGTGTCGAGGTCAGGGAGTCGTGAGGATGTTGTCGGGCATTTGAGGCGCTCCGGGCGACGGAAGGTTTTCGGTCACGTTCGGTCTGTGGGGCGGACTCAGAGTCCATCAACGAAAACACTTTTTCTGTCGGCGGCGAGGCAGAATGGCTGTATCAGCGATAGAGCTAAACGGGGGCACCGAGAAGCGAATTGCCCAGCCTGCACGAGAGGGGAAAAGACGTGCAGGGCGGCCGCGGAGGAGGAAGGCCATCAACGAAAACATCCAGATTGAAAGTCTTGTCCCAGGGAAGGAAAAAGGATACATATTCTTCGGGGAAGGATCAAGCTTTCGGGGAGTTGTCATACTGTTTCTTGAGACCTCCGTTGTCGCCGTCGGCGTGGAGAGGATCGAAATCAGCGCGCCTGATGATTTTTGCTCTATCGATGTCGGCCTCGGGGGGGCGTCTTCTGCTTCAGATTGTCAAACATGGATCCCAGCGTGCAGATCGGCGAAGATGTACCCAGTAAGCGTATACCCTCATGTAAGTGAGTGTATGTGTGCACAGCTGTCGCCCACAAAAAACCCTGCAGGAGGGGGTAAGTCAATGATACGGGATTATACATTGCAGAGAAGGAACAATATTATCTTCAGACCGGAATTGCGCAGGTCACCGCTGAACATGGGAAGCAATTAGTGATGCAAAGGTTGCGGAGCGTGATCTTTACGATATTTGTTGCAGGTTTGATCCGCGGCCTGCAGACGCTCTGGGACAATGGGGGGATTATTTATGTTTGATGCTGTCTTGTACGTACAATTATCAGAATCCTTGTGTAAATTGCAGTCGGGAGGCCTGATAGAGGAGTAACTGGCTGGTCCAATTGTCTGATGGATCCTCATTTATATTCGCTTTGTCGTACCCTCTCGGGTGAGAGTCAGCAGCGGGAGGGGGAAAGGAAAGGACAATTCGAGGAGGGTGGAAAGGACGGGAGGGAGGGAGGCGCGGAGGCGAGGAGGGAAGGGGGAGGAGGGAGGGGGAGAGGGATGGGGGAGAGGGAGCAGGACGACGAGGAGGACGGGGAGAAGCAGGAGGAGGCGGAGGAGTGTGAGGAGAAGCAGGGGAGGAGGTGATAAGGAGGAGGAAGAGGAGGAGGTCGACGACCACGACCACGACCACGACGACGACCACGACGACACTCACTCGACCCACCCCCACTGCCCTGGCCGGTCAGGCTGGCGCCTCGGTGGTGCTGTCCAACGAGCTGCTAGGCCGTGCCGTGCCGCGGGGGATGGGGGCGACGGGGGGCGGCTGGGGGTGGGAGGAGCATCGAAGGTGGGCCCACTTGGAAGGCTGGTTCTTCGAGGCAAGGCGGAAGCCCTCGCCCCAGTGGCGAGCGCCCAGTTGCGGGTTAATCTCCCTGCTGACAGTGGTGGACTCGGCCCGCCGCCCACGCGCGACGAGCATCTGCTTTCCTATTCCTGCTGCTGCTGTCCATGCGGTCGGCTCGACCTTAAGGATAGTTTTATGCCATTCGCATTGAACACGGGCCCGTGATAGATCAGGCTTTTTAATCACGAGCCAGGCCTGTGATCCGACCACAGCACACCAGAGGATGTATCACCCAAACATTGCCGCGAGGGTTGCTTGAGTGTGGAGAAAGGAAGCCTTGGCATTTCTCGGACGTGTGCGTCTTTTCTCGCGAGAACAATCGAGGAGCATCTGGGAGTTGCGAACAAATGCACGCACGAAACCGACAAATGCACATGGAATCGACGTCCGAGCGATGGCAAGAACATGCTTCTCCCAAGTCTGTTCTGCCTCCCTGGGGGGTCCGGGGCCGGCCCAGGGAGCCGCCAGAGACCAGTCCAGGGCGGAAGCCCGGCCAGTGTGGTCCCTGGAGGGGCCCGCTGGCAGGGTCGTGCGGGCCCTCGGAGCAGGAGGAAGCAGAGGAGGAGGAGGAGGAGGAGGAGGAGGAGGAGGAGGAGGGGATGGAGGGGGTGGAGGAGGAGGAGCAGGAGCAGGAGGAGGAGGAAGAACGCAACAGGCATCACACCTAATGTTAGTCTAACATAAGGAGGAGGAAGAGGAGGAGGAGGAGGAGGAGGAGCAAATGGAGGAGGAGGAGGAAGAGGAAGAGGAGGAGGAGGCGCCATGCGCGAGGACTCAGGTTGTTTGGGCGTCGCTGGATGTTTTGGGGCTCCCAGGGAAGTCCTCGTCGCCACGGATTGGCGCAGCTTGGAAAACTGGTCAGGTCGCGCTCCGGTTTGTCTACGGGGGAGCGATACCATTAGGAGGATCTCTGGTGTTCTGGATATAGCGACCTGGTCGGGAAATGTTAACTACTTACTACGTCTGTTTTCCTTTGTCACGTTCAGGTTTGCGGAGGACCTCGGGCCAGATATTACGAGCGATTCGATCTAAGTAATCAGAATGATCGCCGTCTATCCTGTCTTGGCGCTCCTGGGCTAAATGAAAGAGCTGCTCTGCTGCGGCGTAATACACACAACCACTGCAAAATCAGACTCCCTGCCCCGCGTGATATCTTAATGTGTGTCTCTCGCTCGGGGTCCCCCCTATGTGCACCCGCCGCCGAGGGGGAGGTTCGGAAACTGAACCATCAATGTTGACAAGGTCGAAGCACTGCGTTATACGCCAAGCGCTTTGTTTAGTTCTCGTAGTCGATCCCCTGCACCTGTCACATCTGCGTGGGTCATTGTCGCACATGACACCTTGATACTGAAACACGGCACACGCAGATGGGGCACGCGGACGTACGACGGTAGCCTTATTCGCACGTCGTTGCCTTGACTGGGCTGTATCAAGTTCCTCGGTTCTCACCGCTTCAATATGACCCCGGAGAAATCTATTTCGAACAAACATTCAGTGTGCTCCACTTGGTGATGTCGAAAGCTCGTGACCTCTGGGAGTCTCGCAAAGTCTGCTCCCAGCGCCGCGAACGTGTCGGCCAAAGGAGTCGCCATAATCAGTCACCTTGTCGATTTCTGCAGTTCCATGTTGTGCCACGCGTGCTGCGAATGTACGAACAGAATAACAACATTCAAGGGCGACTTGGTATCAAGAACCTGTTTGATCTGTCACCGAAGATCTGCTTCAGGCCCGTCGAGTGCTCGACACCTGAAACTATACCAATCCAGAGCCACTACCGAATTTCTTGTCGCACATACCGTGCTACCATCGACACCGACAAGAAACAGCAGGAAAGCTTGGAGTTCACCTCTGGCTATTACCTGGCGGCCTTTGGTAGTCCTCCCCACATGCCCAAGGACATCTGGAAATTCTCGTTGGCATCATTGAACACGGCCAGCCCCACTCCCACCCGACGAAGTCGTGGATGCACAGAGTCCTCACCATTGCTGGCATCTCCGAAACTAAATATCGGACAACTATCTTCTCCAACTCCGAAACACCCTTCGCCATATTTTGTAACCTCTGTAGCCTGCCAATCTGCTTCATTCAAAAGTGGTTCAGCTGCGAGCCAAGGTTCTGGCATCAGTTCTCGTGTCCAACAAAACCAGCCCCTCGTTGTACCAATGCCTTGCTCACAAGATTGTCGGTCATTCTTTACACTAGGTGACTCTTGACATCTCCACTGCATCCCCAGGCTCCGTGTAGTGGCGTCTCATTGTCTTCTTGGTATTTGGCAACTTTCTGGAGATGGTCTGCTTGGAGCGCGTTTGCCTACGCGTGCGAGGTCATGACGCGCCAACGGCTGCAGACAACAAGAGTCCTGAACAACGCCGCCCCCTGGTGCTTGTTCCAGGTGCTTCGAAAACCATCGATAAGAAATATTACAGACGCCTTGCTCCATTCCCGCTCCTTCACAATGCTTCGAAACTCGCCCTCAACGTGATCTATGAACTAGGCTCTCTCACGCGTTCTGGACCCCAGCTATTCCCCACTCCAGATCCGTCGTCAGGCGTCGTCCAGCAGGTCGGCACGGCCTGAAGTAAATCACAAATAGTGGTGCCTTGAAGTCCTCGTATGGCTTGCGCCCGTTGCACAGGCGTCATACAGCGCAACTACTCCACCAGTTTCGTCCACGCCACATCCATCCCACTCTGATTTAAGTCTACGTTGCCCAACAAGTGAGCCGGCGGCACTCCTTGGAGGCAATGGACAATCCTTCCTCTTCCATAGCTCGACAAGCATCCACCCGGCAACCTGTCAATTGGGGTATCACTGTTCCGCGTGAATTTCGGATCAATTGGTTGACGTCGCCGATCCAGATCCCGTGGTTCATGACGACGCGCGCGTTCGTCAGTTTGCACATGATGTGGTGCGTGGGACATTGGGCTCTGCGCGCGCTTGCTCTTAATCCTTGAACCAGCGACCGCCGCGGCGAGAATGGCCCCGAGCATGCGCCCAGCTGCTGCGAGCACCGCGCTGCCATGCACCGCTGCAGCTCCAACCCCAACTCCTCTGACGGAACGTCGAGTTCGAGAGTTGCACGTCCTAAGTTCAGCCAACCAACCGCATCGTAGAATTTGCCAATGTCCATGGGGTTTCTGCCATGATGAGCATTGTGCTTCCCTGCCAGCTCCTCACCAATTCACCGAAGACATATTTCACGGACCGCAGCATTACCTCACATGACCGCATCCCAATAGGACTTGCACTCATCTGTCCACTGCCGAACATAAGGTTCGCGCGTGTGCGTCCATGCGCGCGCTGGACAATAATCCCCAGCCCCGATCGCGAGGGGAGCTTGGCGAGGCCATCACTGCGCCGCCTAGCAAACCGACACGAGGACCACCATCTCCTCGAGCGCAGCGTCTGGTAGCTTATCAGGATCGCATACGCACAGCCTGTCCACGCCCATGCCGCCGCTCGTCTTCGTCGCAATGCCCAACAAGTGTCAAACACTGCAAGCGGCGGTGGCGCCTCAGCATGGACACGTTGACGGATATCGAAGCACGATCCTCCAATGCATGAGTACCTCTGGCCACGCCATTGCTCTCCATGTCGCCCAGGGCCCACTACCAGGCGTACTCCTGCTGCTTGTGATCCAACATCTCCTCGGGATGAAGCACAGTGTCAGCATTCACCACAATTTGACTCCCCGCAGCAGGCTCGCCACGAAGTTCAAGATGAAGCACGCTGATAACGGAACTGTTTCTGCCCATTCACGGAATTCAGCCATCGAACGCGCCATTGTTTTCCGTTGTGTTTTTTTTCGCCATTTTCTCAATGGGTTGATTACTCGCATCGAGATCTGTCAATTCAATTTGCCCGAGGTGTGATAGAAACTATTACCACTGCTGCTCATTGTATTTATCTTTGACACGTGACTTCAGGTGAAGCTTGATGCAACTGACCTGGCTGTTCACTCAAAGCCGGATGAAAGCTGAATCCAGAATGATGAATTACACCTCCCCGCCTTGTCGCCGTCGATGCCTGGCCGCGCTGTTGACGATGCTGCTGGCGCGAGGCCACTTATTGCTCACCTTGACTCGCAGACGCGCGATCCTGGTGGGCGGCGCCTGCTGCGCCGTGGAAATTTGAATGCTTGGAGCCTCGCTTCTCGATCTCCCAGATGTGGCCTGACGATGGCGCGCGTAGATCGCGTCGCCAACGGCCCGAATCCAACCACTGCAAAGCGAATTGACGCTGCCAGAACTTTCCAGAGTCCAGAGTCCAGAAGCCTTGCGCCGGCCACAGCGCGTGACCAATGGGTGAAAATGCGCACAGAAGCGCATACCTTCAGCACGGCGCCCATCCTTTGACCGCCTGGACCCACCTGCGAGCTGCAACGCCTTAGCCAAGCAAAAAGGCCGCGGAAACATTGACAGCATCCGCAGGGGTAATTGAGGAAGCATGAACGAAACCAACTTCTTGCCCTTGTTCCATCCACGCGCTCACAGGGATATAATATTCGGGGGGCCATGAAGCATCTACAGCTGGCGTGGAAGAAGTAGGAACGAAAACAACTTCTTTCCGTGTTTTCATCCACGTGCTTACAGGGATAGATTATTGAATCGCTTCGCTCATTCCGCCGGCCCATTTCGCATGACTGAGCCTCTTGGGGCCGCTGGGGGGCCTCTTCAGCGTCGCTTGGGGGCTCCCTGAGGGCCTCTTGGGAGCTTTTGGGGCCTCTCAGGGGCCTCTTGAGGCCTCCTGGGGGCTTCTTAAGGCCGAGGGCTCGAAGTTTTGTTTTGTGTTCCCCCTTTGGGGCATCGCTTGGGGCCCTCTTGGGCCCCTCTTGGGCCGTCTTGGATGCCTCTGGGGCCGTCTTGGAGCCCTCTTGGGCCATCTTGGGGCCTTCTTGGGAGCTTCTTGGGCCCTCTTGGGGCGATCTTGGGGGCCTCTTGGGCCGTCTTGGGGCGTCGGGAAGCCGAAAAGATGGACACGCCAAAATCTGCCCAAAACCTAAGGAAAAGTAATGAATTTTGCCTCTTGGGGCCCTCTGGGGAGTGCTCTTGGAGGCCTCTTGGGGCGTCTGGGGGCCATCTTGGGCGTCTTGGAACGATCGTGTGGCATCTCGGAGCACTCTTGAACCATCTTGGAGGGCTCTTGGCGGCCTCGTGGCCCTTCTTGGGGCTCTCTGGAGGGCCACGGGGGCGGCGGCGCCCAGGAGGAAAACCATCTCTGACCCGAGTCTGCCGGGGATCGCCCGGGGTACTTTTCGTCCGGGGACCCCCAGGGGCCGCCCCGCGCGCGCGAAGTATTATTTAGCAGTTACCGGAGATCTTAGCACGCCTCTGGCCCGTTGGGCCGGCGAATTCGGGGGACCACGACGCATCTACCGCTTGTGCGGAGGAATCAGGAACGAAACCAAGTTGTTCCCGTTGTTTCTTCCACGTTCTCTCAGAGATCGAATCTCCGGGGGACCACGAAGCACCCACCGCTGGCTCAGATTCTGGCCTCCGTTGTTTTATCCACGTGCTCACAGACAGAGATCGAATATTCGGGGGGCCACGAAGCATACACCGCTGGCTGCTGCTGGCTCAACTTCTGGCTCGACGGAGGAAGGCCCCTCCCTGGGCGCGCTTGAGGGTGGGAGGGCAGCTGTTGTGTTTACATCCTCGCGCGGGGCCGAATAGCTTTGTTTCCCAGGGACGGACGGACGGACGGATGACGACGTACGGACGGACGACGACGACGGTCATCATCCGGACGACGACGTACGGACGACGTACGGACGACGTACGGACGACGACGACGACGTACGGACGACGACGACGACGACGACGACGACGACGACGACGACGACGTCCCGTCCAGCGACCCGACGGACTACATCAGGAACTTCCGATTGATTCGTTGGCAAAACGTGGGAGCCTGGTATACCCTCTGAATGCCGTGTTTAGCATCGATTAGCGTCGAGTTATCGTCTGGGAGTCGATGAGGTAGTGCCGATCTAGCGTCGGAGCGTCGACCAACGTCGATTCAGCGTCGATTCGCATCATGTTCGCTTCGATCTAGCGTTGATCAGCGTCGACTCGCACGAGCCGACAAGATGGTATGAGAGGCTCCCCATGAGTTGCCACCGAAGACTGAAAAGCAAGAGAGCTGGCATGCCAAGGGGCGGCTGGCTGGGCGTGGGGGCGGGCGAAGTTGCTGTCGTCGGCCCGGGGGTTCTTCCTCCGACTCGGGCCAGTCGCTGTCGTCGCAGGTGTCCTCGGAGGCTGCGTCGCCTCGGACGTCTGTATGAACCTCGATGCTGAGAGGGCCTTGCCCGTCCCTGCTGCACTCCTTTTCCGGCTCAAGCCCATCAGCACACCGAAGCTTAAAATCCTCCTGCTCCTCGTTTCCACCGCCGCTTGCTCATCTACAGCGCGCTTGGCCTTGGCGACGCTGCTAGACTTGGATCCAGGGGCAGGCGCAGCCCCAGGTCTACTTAACGAGCTCGACTCGACTCGACGCGAATCATCCGAGAACGCGACTCGACTATATAATACTGGGAGAGGGTGATGACACACCAGCCCTCAGAGAAAACCAAGCAAATTACGGATTAGACTAGACGAGCTTGATCCCAGTTGGTGGGTGTCTGTTTTCAGACAGCCAGTCCCTGGCTCGCCGGCAGGCAGGGTTGGGGGGCTTCGTGGGGCAGGGGTCACCAAGGGCCTCGATCTGGCCGAGCCCAAGGCAACTCGGGCCCCGCAAAGCCAACAGAACAGGAATGACCTTGCCCTGTGAATATGGTGCCCGTCGCACACGAGTAGACTCCCACCCGCCTCCACACCCAAACTGGCAGCCGCAGCGGCATAGGCAGCCTCACCCTCCCCTTCGGCATGCTGGCGCCAGCCGAGCCGCTCGGCCAGAGCAGCAAGCTGGCGCAGCATCGGCCCGGGCTCACACCTAGCCCCTGGCTTGAGCAAAGACTTGCCACTGTCGCAGGCCTAGATCCCGATCTCGGTGGTGGTGGTACTATTCTGGCTTCCAAGGTGGCCGAATTCTTAACCACCAGCACCGAAATCTAGGATCATCTTCCCCCTGTGGAGGCAAACCCACTGTGTTGGTGTTGGTGCTCATTCCCAGGCCTCCAACACAGCCTGGTGTCCGAGCAACCGCCAAACATTGCCTGCACTGCAACGCCGAGGAACCAGGATCCAGGGGCACGGTATCGTGAGCAACAACAACCAGCTTCGGCCTTTCCTCCTTGGGTGACTGTGGAGGGGTTGGGGCAGCACCAGAAACATCTGGCAGAACACAAACAATCTGAACCGCTCGGGCCAGGAACTGGCATGACAACTTGCACTCTATAACGGCCTCCTGGAGGGATGCGGCCGCAACGTCGGCAACAGCAACATCAAGGGCTCCGAGCTTGGCGAAGAAGTCTGCCCAAGCATTACCCATGAACCTCCAAATTTCGCCAGCACGCGCTCCTTGCTCAACTAACCTCTCCAAACAGAGGTGCGCAGGCGTACAGTGGAACTCGGGGCGCCTAGCATTGCGAGCACAAGCACGAAATACGCTGCGCCAAATCGACGCGTGCGGGGCAAGGCCATGTTCAAGGTTGGGATCCCAACCTTGGCCCTCGTGAACAAACAAAAGGTGATCACTAATTATGACGGGATGCTGGTCTCCAGCAGGCCCCAGGGAAACAGCATCGAGCCTAGCCCCGGACCGAGGGACCGAATGGAAGCGCCCTGGGAGCCCGCCGAACCTGGCTCTCAAAGGTCAGCCGTCCTCGGAAATCTCGACAACACTCCAGCCACATCGAGTGGATTCGGGCACCGCCCTGTGCAGCCCTGACCCGCCAGTGAACCCAGATCTACCCCAGGGACCGTCCGCGAGACCTCAGGTGAGCACCGGCGGCCGAGCCAAGGGAGGGGGCAATTGGATGGGGAGCGAGGGAAGCCCGTAGAGGAGAGGAGCGCGATCCCAATCAGGAGGACCGACGTTGACATCGTACCCTTCCTCCCGCAAGGCCTGCCTACGCGCCCAAACATCTTCGTGAAAACCCATGCTGCGCGCCTCGTTCTCCCCAGACACGAAGGCACACGAGCAATCATAGAGTTGGTGGCCCAATTTGCTGGGGGGGCTCTGGCAGAAAGTGCGAGCAGCAGACGGGGCCATCCCAGCCGCATGCATGCGAGCTGGTGGCCACAACCCTCCAGACCAGACGGCCACCCACGGGGAGGGCCAGAATCGCGAGGCGCATCACTCTAGCACAGCAGTACTCGGAGCGCGTCGCTTTTGACCACTGGAAGGGGACCCTGCGCCAAAACCAACGCTCCACACCATCGCGCAACAAATAGCGGACCTGGCACGGCGAATAGACATACAACGAGATATGGTCTCCGAGGTCGGAGGTGAGGAGGTGGGGAGCGGCCATGTCCCACCCGACCCTGGGAAGGGAGAGAAGAACGGAGGAGGAGGAAGAGGAGGAGGAGGAGGTGGAGGAGGAGTAGAACGACGAGGAGGAGGCGGAGGAGGAGGAGGAGGAGGAGGAGGAGGAAGAGGAGGAGGAGGAGGAGGAGGAGGGGGAGGGGGAGGGGGAAGAGGGGAAGGAGGAGGAAATTCATGTGGCGTGTTGGCTGAAGCCAGAAAGAGCGGCTTGGCCGCACCTACAGGTTTCGGCCTTGATGCGAGATCAGCGTCCGAGATGTTGTTGCGCAGATTGGAAGCAGCAGTCATTGTGTGACGGGCACCGTGTGATGCAATGGGCTGAGTCCATGTCACAGCAATTCGAGTAAGGACGATTCCTGCCTAAAGAGGGGAAGCAGGCGGAGTGGAAGGGGTACATAGTGGCAGAGGGTTCAGCTGCTTCGCAGTCGGTTCTGTTTGGTCGGTTGTCGTTGCGCCGCTGCGTCCTTTCAGGCTGCCTTTGATTCGCCGACTTCGGTTTCGCGATCGGTTCGGTCGGTGTCCGATCTCGATATCGCCGTGGACGTCTGTTGGCACAGACAGGGCGGAGATGGGGGAGACGGAGGCAGCGGAGGATGTCGGGACATCTACGCTGGCGCGCCTGCGACCGCTTCGCGAGCAAGCCAGTCGGATGCCCGCTTTCCAGAAAGAAGACGCCCGTCCCCGCAAGGAGGAGGATGAGGAGGAGGAGGAGGAGGAGGAGGAGGAAGAGGAGGAAGAGGGGAGGAGAAGAGGCAGCGGAGGAGGAGGGTGCGGCGGCGGGGGAGGAAGGAGCCAGGGCGCAGCCGGCCCCCGTCCCCAACAGACGCTTTCGCGCCCGTGAAGCTCCGCCTGAGCCTCTACGGCAAGGTCGAGGTGATGAACTGCGCCAGCTGGCAGGAGATCCGGGTGGTCCACGTCATCCGCGTGGACGCGCGGGGCTCAAGCCGAGGAGGACGGGAGGAGGGCCGCTCGAGACAGCGGGCGGCGGCGGCGGCGGCTGGCGGCCGGCTGGGGGAGGAAGGAGGGAGGAGGAGGGGAGGAGGAGGAGGAGGAGGAGGAGGAGGAGGAGGAGGAGGAGGAGGAGGCGGAGGAGGAGGGAGGCGGAGGAGGAGGGAGGAGGAAGAGGAGGGCCGCTCGCGACAGCGGGCGGCCCTCCCTGGCGCTCATCGTCCTCTTGGGCCTCTGGGAGGCGCCTCGTCGTCTCCACGGGCGGGTACAGGCCTCGGGCGTCGTGCATGTGGTCACGGCGTTCGGGCCCCATCGCGGGGACTGGCGTCGCGTCCCGAGCCCTGCTGCGATGGTCCTGGGGCTCGGTGAGGGCTCCCAGAGGCGGAACATCATGAACGATACTCCCCATTCCGCAACAAAGGGGGGAGGTCTGATTGGGGAGGGGTTCTGATTCGAGCTGTCTTTGAGGATTCCAGGGGGTCTGGGCAAAAGGCCGCCCTTCCGCAGCTGGCCCAGGGGGCTCTAAAACTGCTCGTCTGGGAGGGTTGTGACTGACCTCCTCCCTTTGATTGCAAAATCCGGAGTAGCCTCTGCGGTTGTGGATAAGGGAGTGGGCGGGGGGGGTGGTCGTCGGCAGCATGGGAGGCTGGAATGCAAGTTTCAAGAAGTCCGCCGCAGGCGTCCATTCTTCGTCAACGCAATGCGGGTGGTTCGCGACTGGGCTGCACGAGGGTCTCGGGTAGGACGCGGGTGGGTCGCGGGCGAGGACGGCGACAACACAACACATTGACAGCAATAACACTATTATCCGTCACAATGGAAGATATCGGGCAAGCACCCAGCGATGGTGTGAGATTGCTCGGCCCCAGGCGATGGCAATGTTAGGGATGTAGCCTCAGAAGCTGGGGGGAATCTTAAGATTGGCACCGAGACGTGGTGTTGCCAATCATTGGGAGGGATTTTACTCAGGCTTGCAAGAGGAGAACGAGGACAGGCGAGGAGGGGGAGATGGAGGGGGAGAGGGGAGGAGGAGGAATGGGAGGAAGATGACTCAAACATGTTTTTGGAGGCTTCCAGTATTTCCAAGTATTCGCAGCGTTTCCCACATTTGTTCTGAAGTTGTTTGAGGTGTGTTTCAACGGGTTATATGGAGGATTCGATTGTTTTAAAAGGTTTCCACAACATCTATCTTGGCGATGCTGGATGATGTCTTGAGACTTCTCGCAGCAGCAGGAGCACCGTAGGAGCAGGAGATATGGATGTATGCAATGTGGGAGATTTCGTAAAGTTCCATTGCGGTCGTGACGCTGGTGGCCAGGTCTATTCGGGGCAGCAGAACAGTAATGATAAGAAAGTGACAGTTCTGTGTTCTACGTTCTACAGGAGAGGATGAGATGAGGTGGATAAGGAGGAGGAGGAGGAGGAGGAGGAGGAGGAGGACGAGCTGGAGGAGACTGTGCAGGAGGGCACGCAGGGTGAGAGGATGATGATGAGGAGCAGCAGCAAAAACAGGAGAAGCAGAAGGGAGGAGGAGGAAGGGGAGGAAGAGAAGGAGGAAAGGGGCAGGAGGAGTTGAAGGTGAGGAGGGGCGGGACATTCTTCCGCCGTCGCTCGCGCTGCCGGCCCAGTCCGCGGCCGTTGCTGCTGTTACCGCTTCCTCTTACTCCTCTCCTGCGTCTTCCTGCTTCTACTTCCTCGGCTCTTCATCTCACCCGCTTTTCTCCTTCTTCCTTCCGCGCGTCTTCCCCAGTCATCCTTCTCGACCACCCTGTTTTCCTCTGCCTCCTGCTTCGTCCTCCGTCATGGGCGTCGTCGTCATCGATGTCGGCGTCGTCGTCGTCGTCGTCGTCCTGAGGCGCTGCGCGACATCGGGGACATGACCGGCCGCTCCGCCGAGTCCGTCAGCAGGACCCCGCCCTAGCGGCGCGTGGGCCGTCGTCATGGGCAGTCTGGGCGCGAGTAGCCTTGCGGGCGCAGACAGATGTGGCAGAAGCGATGCGGGGCCTCAGGGGGGAGGTGGAGGGAGAGGAAAATCAACATGTTTTGTTGCCGAACCGGCGGACGTGCGGCGTGGGAGGTCATAGGTCGGGACGCGAATCGCAAAATTGGCACCTTGGAGTCGGAGGACGGCGAGGACGGCCAGAAGAAGGCACATCTTCATTAGCATAGGGTTTCGGAGGTCGCGCGGGGTTGGATTGGCGCTGGGCCCCCCAGGTGACGCTTCCGGCGCTGCTCCCAGGGGAGCGGGGTCCAGCGCCGATTGAAGACATCGGCACGGACCTAAGAGAGTGTGCATAATGCGATCAGAGACGTCTTCTACGACGACTGTGCTCGCGACGTGCTGCGCCGTAGCATGAGGCAGCAAGGCTACTGGGCGATCCTGGGGCGCGGGATGTACGGCAGCCAGCTGACGAGCACCGCCTGGCAAATGTGCTTGTGATCCCCCACATCACCATAGCACGATATCTGCTGAACGGCAGCCGCGCGGTGAGGGCCGACAGGGTCTGCTTCGACTTCGCCTCGATCAACGCCTTGGGGCCGTCACGCTGGACAGAGCGAGCAGAGGGGGCAGGGAGGCAGCCTCAGTGCGGCGGGAGATGCTTCATCGCATTGCCGTCGTCGTGGCGAGAGGCTGCGCTGCGCGCGTAGCCCGCCTTCGGGTGAACGCGCGCGGTGCTCGTGCTTCGGGGGCGTCAGCGGCCAGACAACGTGGGCCGCGGACCACGAGGATTCCTAGTTCTCTCCTTTTTCCTCCTCCTCCCCCTCCTCCTCCTCCTCCACGTCCTCCCCCTGTCCTCGTTTTAAGGCGCAAGGCGCGGGCCGCGGGCCCGGGCGGGCGCGCTTAACAGCGGGGCCGGGTGGCCCACACCCCGCGGCCGCGCCCTCGCCCAGTGAGCTTTCGCTGTGCGTTGTGCGCAGCGGTCATTTCCCTCCTCGTGCTCCCCCTCTACTTTCCCTCCCCCCCCCCTTGCCCGTCCAGCCCCTTCCGATGTGGTGACACCTGGCCGGCCACTCACTGTTGCGCGCTGCCGCTTTCGTGATCGAGCCCGCTGTCGTTGGACGCGGTTATAGCCCCCATGAGGGGAAGCGGATCTGAAGCTGAATGCCCTTGGACGGACAACGTGCGCTTGTGCTCGACGGTCTGAGGCTTTCGCTGGAGTGACCTTCCTTCAGTTTTTTACATGTATCCTTGTGCACGTGTCCTGACACGCCAGAATCCAGCGGCCACTGCCTCACTTATTTGGTCTGAGCCAAACCTGGTCGCTTACCCACCGTATTTGTTTTCCTGGCGCGACACGATGGGAGCAGCGCTCCTCGCCGACACTGGAGGTTGTGAAGCAATTGCAGCGCCAAGGCTTCCGGGCCATGCCATATCCACATATTTCATGGCGCCTCTTCCCGTACCAATACGTGTTGTGCACGTGCCTTGTTCCCTCCTGGGGCCGCACGCGTGCACAGAAGCCATCGAATTCGTTTGTGCGGCGATCGGAGTCTTATTTGATGCCAAACGATGCCAACCAGCGCCAAGCATCGCAAAGACATACATATCAAAGCCTAGCAATGCCAAGCCGCGCCAAACACTGCAAACCATTCGAGGTAATGCCAAACAACGCCACGCAATGGCAAACAATGGATGGCAACGCTGAGCAATCAATGGGCGTTCCCGATGGGGCTGCCACAGCCTGCGATTAGATGGAATGGTGCTACATACCTGGGTGGGTTTGCAAAGGCGCAAGCACCAGGAACGAAAAAAAAACATATGTTCTAACAGTTATGTGCACAGTCCTTGATTTGTTTTGCGATGCACAGAAACTGCATAATGGGCTCATTGGAGGAATCGGTTTCTTCTGCTCGGCCCCGCGGCGTTGCGGGGGCCCGTCGCCAGGGGGCCCACGGGTGGAGCCGGTCGCGTGGGGGCCTGAGGAGGGTGCCCGGGGAACCCCTCGCGGGGAGTCCGCGGCGCAGTGGGGGCCCGTCGCCCCGGCGCCCAAGGGTGGCGTTGGTCGGGGCTTCGTGGAAAATGGAGTGCTGAAGACAGAGAACGGCGCCTGCGGTCCTGCGGTGAGCTTCTTCATTGAATGCTTCGTTTCAGTTATTCCAGTAGCCCGTCCAAAGGGCCCGCGGCGTCGTGGGGGGCCGTCGCCGCGGGTCCCACGGGTGGCGCCGGTCTTGGTATCGCAGAGATGCAGCAACGCTAAAAGTTTCAAACGTTGGCCCGTGTGGCGGGCTCCTTCATGTAATGCTGCGTTTAACCTGCTTCACCCGTCCAGGGGGCCCGCGTCGCGGGGGCCCATTGGTGGAGCCACTCTTGGCTGCGCAGAAGTTCGTGTTCACAGTTGAAAGATCGGAGCCTGTGGCGGGTTTCTTCCTGTTTGTTCCAGTCAGGCCCCAGACGGGCTCGGGAATTCGCGCGACAATTGTTTACGAGTCTCGAATCCCCGCCAGCCAATTCAGAAGCCCTGCCCACGAGAGCCGACGGGAAATGGAAAGCAGAGGCGCATATAATGAAACAGAGCGGTCACAGAGAGGATGGGGGAGGACCGTGTTGAGCCGTGTTGGAGGCTATCTTGGAGCAGCAGAGGCCTTCTTGAAGCTATTGGGCCTGTTGGGGTGTCTTGGAGTCCCTTGGCGCTCTTTTGGGGCATCTTGGGGCCGTCTCGGGGTTCTTTGGGAGGTCTTGGGGTCCTCTTGGGGCTCTTTTGGGGCGTTTTGGGGCCTCTGTTGGCCCCTCTTGGGGCTGGCTGTGAGTTTCGGAGGGCCTCTTGCGGCTGTCGTGGAGGGTGTCGGTGGAAAGAGGAGGGGTCCTAATGTTTGGCCCGCCACCTCTGGGAGCATCGAAATATCCTCTTGGGGCGCTCTCGGGCCCTCTGGAGGCGTTCTTTGGCGCTCTTGGGGCCGTCATGGGGCCCATGGGGGCTTTTTGGACCCTTCTTGGAGTTCTCTTGGGCAATATTAGGGCCATATTGAGGCCTCAACAACGCATCGGAAACGAAAAGGCGAGAAGGCCAACCTTATTGGTTCTCCCTCGGTTTTTAGAGAATTATGTTTTTTTCCCCGGGGAGGTCCTGGGGGGTCTCGGGGCACCTGGGGCCTCTTATGTCGGAAGCTGTCTTGAAGCATCTTCGGCTTTCTTGGGCCATCTTGGGCTCTCTGGGGCCCTTTCGGGGCCATCTTGGGCGCTGTAACCCCTCGCGGTCCCCCCCCCGTTCAGGTCCAGGGGAGGTGGTACGGGGAGGGGTAAGACCCTCTCCGAAAGGGGAAGAGGGGCTCTTTTGGAAGAAAAGCGGCAGGTCTCGCTACACCGCCTGCGCCCAGAGGGCTGGCGGGATTTTCGCAGCCGCCCTGGCTTGTGGCGCAAATTCGGCGTTTGGGATTCGTGCTCCCTTGTCCATTGTGGAAAACGGCATCTATCCGTGATCTCCTTCGTTTTCTTGTGGTTCCGCATGCGCTAAGGAGCCACGCGCGACGTTCCAGTTCACAGCGCGTCGCGCCGAGACTCCTGCCCCCCCTACTCCTATCCGTATTTGCGGGGGGTATGCTATATATATATATATACATATATATATACACATCGCTCATATATATATATACACATATATATATATATATATATATATATATGTAGGTATGTATATATGTATATATATATACACATACCTACATAAGACACAGTATATATCCCCCGTCGCTCCCTCCAGACAGGGTAGGAGGATCTAGGATCGAGTTTCTTCAGCGTTTTTGTTGCCCCCTGTGGAGCCTCCAGCAGGGGAGCCTCCGGGGACCTCCACTGCCCGAGGAGTCCCTCTCCCCTCTCCCCCCCTTTCCGCCCTCCCTCTTTGCCCACCCCCCCTTGCTTCCTCCTCCCCCTGTTCCCTCCTTCCTCCCTCCCTTCCCCACATCCATCCTTGCTCCTCCCGCTCGTTCCCTTCTCCTTGCCTCCATCCACAGGTCACCCGCAGGGGTGCGAGGACACGACCGTGGCTCGCGCGCTACGGCCATGGCTGGAGAGCTGTCCCCATCTCGAGGGGGGCGGCCCGAGGGCGCGGAGCAGTATGTGAGACGGTATAGTTGTACCATGGATCGTTGACGGTCAGAGTGAGGGGGCCGAACGGTCATTCGTTATCACCAGGCGCGTGGCTGAAGTGGGGTTCCGAGGTGATAATTGTTTTTGCTTTGCTGTTGCGCTGTTGCATTGTTGTGGCCGTCCTTGCCCGCGACCCGCCCGCAACCCACCCCGCGACCCACCCCGCGACCTACCCTGCGAACCACCTCGTGAGCCGCAACTGCGAGGTGCTGCGTAGGTAATTCGGGGATCCCTCATTCCAACATGCTGTAGGCGCCTTCATTTTCAAGGATCGAGGGGTTTTCCGTTTTCGTTTCCTTCAAAAGGGGGCGGGCGGAGATCCAGTGTTCTTTCAGCGCTTTCTTGCTTCATGCTTCTACCCACTTCTTCCGACCGATGGCTATTCGCTCTCCCAGGGGTTCGATCATGGACCTTGGGCCCCTGACCGTGCATGAGCGTCCAGCTCGCGCGCAGGAGGCCTCCGTGGACCGCCGGCGACCGATGGATAGCAAAGGGGCGTATGGTCGACGTGACAGTCCTTGCTCCCTCCCGCCCGCGCCGAGGTTGCTCGAGGATCTGCACGCGTACACCGACTCGACGTTCTGCGGCATGGCAGCGCGCCCGGGCTGGCCGTTTTGTTCCTCCTCGTTCTCG